GGTAACTAACACGATGCTTTCATTTTTTTGTTATAAACCGAAAGATATATAAGAGCTGTTTTGATCTAGTCGGAATATTGGTTAGCTCGTTTAGACTGTCTATCCAGTATCAATGATCATCGGCCAACGAATGACATGTTAAATGTTAGCTAACGAACGAGATTAACACTAAATGACTATTGGTTCAGAATACAGCTTTACATAGCCAGAATAGAGCACAACTGAGAAAGCAGATAGCTTCTAATCATACAGTTCGAATTGGTGAACTACGCACACAAAAATATAGAGAAAAATTCTGACCACACACAAAAAATTTAAGAAATCGCAATAGGGACACAACCACGTCACTGGACTATGTGATAATTCTGTAATAAATTAAGAATAATTTAACAAAGGTAAAAGTCACAACAATAATTTGTGTGTCAGACAAAAACTTAAAGGTAGAGGAATACAAGAAAATGGAATTCTGAGTATCCAATAATCACGACTATTTTCTCCACCCTCTCCATTTATCCCGACATAACAAGACAATCTGCACATTGTGGAAAGGCAGTACCACTTAATCCATTCACTTCGAGAGTTCGGTTTAGATCTTTATATAATAAAAAGACTAAGCTTTAGAAATATTTCTCATTGGTACTGATTTAAATAATTACTGTAATGAACGGCTGATTCTCTCTGTTATAAGACTCTTCAGAAGTGCACATGTACGATCGTGCGACCGGCAAGAAAAGCCAGGAACTTCAGTCTGACGATTAAACAATCAACCTCTAGACAACAAACTGATGTAGGTGAAACATCAAAACCGTCGGATGTCTGCTTAATGATCTAGAAGTCAATTGTTTGTACTTGAGGTCGAAATTCTTCGATCCGACTTCCCGTTTCGGAGTTGCGAATTCAGAAGTCCCCATACTAGGGTGAAACTGCTTCCAGGTGCTCCTAAGTTTTAAAGGGCTTTCTAGCTAACAACAATTCGAGATTTAGAAACTGAAAATTCTATGATCTCCATGAAATTTGATAATTACTAGAATATTCAGATCATAAAGTATGTCATACGGTTTCGTTTTTGCAACTTCAACAAGTATCCTGGACTCATGTTCACAATTACTGGAACACAGGGAGAGTATTTATGCAAACCAGCTTTTAGAATTCTCCGTTTAGGAGACCTAAACGCCATGGTTAGAGTTGTTATCACAGGGTATGGAAATATCATAGGATGATATGGACTGGAAATGAACGAGTTACATGGTATGTCAATAAGAAGTAGTCAGATTTGGAGGTCAATAGATGGCGATTGGAAGTGACTTGAAGGACAAATTAATTTCATTAATTACGAAATGATTGATTTCTTAGAAGTAGGGTTTTATATATTTAAATGAGTATTTGTACATAAAAATGAAGCTAAAGAAGCATAAGACAACTAGAGAAACAGCATTTAAAAGTTTAGTACAGCCTTTATTCAAACTACTAACAAACTCAACAATTCATGATAACTTTCAACAACGGGTTCGAAGGCCTACAAGATCTACTCAAAGAAGAAAAAACTACTCTGAAGAAGAACTGGAAAGGGAATAAAGAAGCACTAACTTCAACGTGTCATTCGCTAATTCTCAAGAAGCATCATCATAAGGAATGAATCTCTATTGAAACCCTGAACAATATTCAAAATTCTTTATATGACAGCATTATATTGTCTATTCAGCATCTGAAGTGTATAACATTTTCCTATAAAAAAGAGTTGAACAAAAGGCAAAATTCTATAACATTTGTGTTCTCAAATGTTAAAAATCGTTTGTGTGACGTGATAGACATAATAAGCTCAGTGTGTTGTTTTTCATTTATTAACTTTATACACATTTTTTAGAGATTCTGTTCTTTTAACTGATTAAGATGGCAGTCATAATTTATCACGAAAAAAACCACCTATCAAGATAAGCTACTTTTTGAAGAAAAAGAAAGTAAATGTGAGTTGTTACCAGCTCTTTACTAGATACTCAAACTTGGAGAGTTAATAATCATAAGTGACTGACGTAGAAACCATGTTTTTTCCATTTTTATTTTCTTTAAAATTAAATAACTGCATCAGCCTAAATAAATAGTAAAGCTACGAATGACATATTGTAGTGCTCTGTAATGTCTTGAGCGATCTGTTTACATTCAAGTGAATACTACAAATCAAAGTATTATGGAGTTATTTTTGTGTTATCTGACTTTTGAGAAATACGTCATATTGATTATGGCATTTTCAAACTACCTTGTATCTTTTACTGCTCTTCTATATCTTGTTTTATACTACTTATTACTGTAGTTAGTAGTTTGAAAGTATCAGACATTTTCTACGTGTTGTTGACCTCCGATCACACCCAATAATCTTCCCATTTATTGATATGTATTCATTTCATTATTTATAGTTGGTTTCTATCTTCTTTGCATTCTCACTTATCTTATTAGTGTGCCTTATCGTCTGAGACATTATTTACTTTGGTTTTTTCAGATCGACATATGGTGTTAACTGAAGTTTTCATGAATTTTCGATATTCACTCTTGACACAATTTCAATTTCTGTACTGTTAGCTGGAAATGTTCTTCACAACTTGTAAGTGAATAACTATGTGTGACTAATTTCTTGAACTGCGAATGCATTATTTACGAAATATTATGCACTGTTAGATGCGGTACCATTCCGTAAAATAGTCGATTGTATGAGTGAGTCATTCTGACAGGTGTAGATTAACCGTTTGGAGTCAGCTTGATTGTCATAATCGGTGCCTTGGTTGACATGACTCAGAATGGGTTACTATGGTGCAGATGAACTGAATTTTTGTCTCAAAACATTTATAATTCTTATTTAGCTGACTAATTACCTCTTCTTTCCAAATAATATTGTCTATAACTAGCATTTTCTATTACTGTTGATCTTATATTTAATCCTACTAATGTGATATTTGTTTGATTAATTTTATCTCGCTGTGCTGATATGGTGCGGCAACCTTCCCAGACCTGCCTGTTGAAAACAAATCACCAATCTCAGCCTCTGCAATATGAATCATGTATTTCAAACATACTGGGTTTCTATACAAACCAAACAGATCACATCGTATCACAAAACAGAAAACAATATTCGTACAAGATCCAGTCAAAAGTGGCTATGAACGTGGGAGACCGTAATTAATAGACTGGGCATAACTTGAGAATGGTAAATCGTATAATAATAGTCTATGGGTCTAAAGAAATCTTATAATAAGAGAAACATGAATATTCATAGTTTAGTTACTTAACAGTTACACAGTAAAAATATATGTATCGTATTTGTCTATAAATACTTGTCAAAAGTTACCATTCATAATTCTCGTGAGTATATAACAGTCCTGGAAAATATTTTGGATAAAAACAGATATTATTTCCTGATTAGCTAGTTGTCCATTAGGAAAAATGGCTAATTGCATCAGTAATTCAGTTTATGTAAGTATTTATCACTTAACCACACTATTCATATCAACTGAGGTGATAAGTTGCACAATGTATATTATTCATGAAATAACACATCTGTTATGGTATTCACGACATTTTATTGCCATGTTATAACAAATACTTTCATGTTACGGCATTGATGCATCAGTATTTACGCTTTCATGTAGTTGATTTCGTCTATACAGAAGACCATTTTAATCTGTGTTATCCACGGTTTTAATGAATGAAATAATAATCATCATTTATCACAATGAGGTAACGTAGAGACCTTTGAATTTGTAGTTTCACATCACAGACTGATTATCGTTAGAAAGTTACCAAATGCCAAGAGATATTTAGCATCTGATTCATCCCAGTATAGGACTGTTCAGTAATACAAATTTACTTGGTTAAGACTCCTCAGTTATGAATACATTTTGACCTTACATATTGTCAGATGAGAACTGAAACATATATCTATTCAGTGACCATCTGTTAGCTAAATATAATTCCATGGTTGAATATCATGAAACATTACAAATATCAATAGCTATTTTGACAATAATTGCTTTTTTGTGTTCTATATTGGCAGTTAGATATACTTTTTGTAAAAGAGAAAAACTGTACTGTTTGACAATCTGATTTTAGTGGTTCATTGATAATCATCTTTTATTTGCTTCTTATACAAAAGACCATATATTGTACATAATGAATTGCAACACATCTTTCCATATCAAGATTTTTCTAAGAGTTCAACCGGGTCTACTATGAGATAATAACTCATTGAAGACAATGGTGGATGTGACGTTCAATTTCGTGGATTAGTTAAAGTTAGACATTGACACCGTTGGATGCTGACTCAATGGTGTAGAGATTAAGTGTTCATACGCGAGACCGACAGATCCTGGGTTGGAATCTCACGAGGTGGGATCGTGGATGCAAGCTGTTGAGGAGTCCCACAGTCGGACGAAACGGCCGTTTAGTGCTTCCAGATTTTCTATGGTGGCTTAGCTTCAATTGACTCATGATTCCAACTATTAAAATTATTATAATATTCACAAAAACCCCTTCTGATATTACCGATATGACTACTCTCTATCTATAATTCAGTCTTTTATGAGAGTAAATTCAATTAAAACTAAAAAGTTACAACAAATATTTTCATGTTTAATAATATTTGACAGAATGAAACAAAAATTATACGAAAATAAATCAGAAACTTTATTTTGTGTAAATCATGTAGAAAATAACGTGTTTTTTGTTGTTTCTGTTGTCATTATATCTTACTTCGACATCAAGTTATTTCTCATATAATTAACTTTTATTAATGAGTTTATAAAATGAAATTCTGTACACCAATCAAATATACGCATTTATGTACTATACTATGTAAAGGGGGTATTTATTGCACACATAGAATAGAGAAATGATAAAGTAATTTATAGTCATTAATTTCTTTCTTTTTTTTTATGCACAGAACAAAAAAATGATGGCAGTAAATTGAATTTATATATTGTTGGTAGGATGTGACATGAAATAGAACTAATGATGAGTAACAGAAAAGAAATCGGTATCGTTTATAAGGAAAGAATTTTTCCTGGTTTATACTGAAGTATTTTGTTAATATGGGGATTAATTACATGTAAGTTAACTTTGCTATACATTCTCTATCGTAATTAACAATATGGTAATAAAAAGTATCAACAGCTTTTTAAGTTTGGATCAAATGTAGTTTAAAAATAATTCAATTTGAAATTTAATCAGTCTTAGTTGATATATGTGCATTCTGTGTGGAATACTATTGAAAACATTATAATACTGACTAAATAGAATTCGTGAAGTTAATTTTCTTTATTGGCTACCACACACCTGAAGAGCCATTGAGAATTAGACTACAATGGACAACTACTACACTTTAATTTAATAACCTTAATCATATCCCACCTAGAAGAATTTGATTGACATATCTCTAAACAGCTGAGTTGTACGACAAAGTATTTCCGATTGGAAGTTATCTCTATGATACGAGAGCTCGACAGCTGATTGCCAAAACACTGCAACACTATTTATCTTCTATTTGATTGAAGAAAGGAGATAGAAATTCGGAAACACTTTGTCATTCCAAAAGACCGAAGTTTTAGTACAACCACTATGACCCTGGAATATAATATAAATACCAACCTAAAAGTAAAAGGAACCAATCAGATAGAAGTTAATAGGGTAATATTAATTGGATAAAATATTACTTCGAGTTTTCTTGTTCATTAAAATTGCTAATTATTAAAATACTGAAAGAGAACACTTGAGAATTTGAGATCTTCATAGCAAATGGGCTCAAGTTATAGTTGACACAATCAATAAGAATAGTTTGTAAATGAATTTTCGTGAATTTAGTGGAGCACAAGATTGATTCACAGTTTTGATGCTTTCATTTTTAACTAATAACAAATTTACGCTTAATTTTATTTAAGTAGATTTTCGAGGTTTTTCGAAAATTTGAATAAACTGTAAAATGTACAAAACAGTAGGTCCTGGGTTCGAATCTCGCGAGGCGGGGTCGTGGATACGCACTGTTGAGAAGTCCCATACTAGAATGAAATAGCCATCCAGTGCTTTCAGGTTTTCCATGGTCGCCTAGCTTCAATTGATTCATGAATTCAATTATAAAATTACAACAGTGACTAATGATTTAAATTTAATCATTACATAACCGTATCAAATCGGTAGTCAACATATTTGAATTATAATTAAAAAATTATATATGCATCTATTCCATATTAAACTGACGACAGATACGAACTCATAGTACTAGAGTTGTTATGTATTATATATTGTAAATTAAATAAGAATTGAAATATACTAACCAATGAAATTCACTTTAATCGTATAACAGCACAGTTATAAATGAATGAATAGTAACTGTCTTTACCTGCAATATCGTTACATAATAAGAGTGTACAGTACAACAATGTAGATCTCCAGATTAGTAGTAAATAAGTTTTTTTTTCAAGTATATTTCATAGTTTTAAATTTCACCTCATTGCATTCATTGAAGATTAGAAATATGAATTGGTCCACCACTTCAAAGTACAATATTGAACAAAATCAGTCAAATTTATTTATTGAAAATAATACAGATTACTTTCCTTGCTATACTCTATCAAATATGAAGTTTCTTCATAAAATAGTTTACCCATTTCAAAATGAAGTTGTTCAGAATGAATCTAAAAAGTATTTACATGATCAGAAACAACATAATATGAATTCAACAAGTCAAGAATATGAAATGCTGGATCAATTATGCAGTGTTGAAAACTATCAGGACAACTACACTGAGAATTATCCTCATTATTATTCAGTAACATCTACATCTCTACCGGAATCAATAAATTCTCAATCAATAAACAAAGAAAGTGTATCATTTGCGGATAAACTCTATGACTCTTGTTCCTTACGTATTAATACTAATAATCTTGATAATAAAATTCATAATTACACAAGACATCACGATGATTATACAGATCTAAAAGCTATACCTACTTGTTTGAAATGCTATCACTCTACTTCAAATTATCAACAATATTCTATACAAAATTATCTCTGTGATCAAACCACTACTGAAATGTATAAATATAAACAAATTCCAGATTATTTCAATTCTGACAAATGTGATAATTTTAAAGATGTAAAACAGATAGGTATGGAGTTAAATAAGGAAGGAATTAGTGTGGTTGGAACAAAGACTTTAATATGTCGATGGAAATCATGTCGCTTGGTAAGCGATTATGTGATTCAATCAATTTTCCCTAAGTTTCTTATATGCACTTATTTTGGTCTAGTGATCTTGTTCAACACTGAAATTTAAACGTTTATTGAATCAGATTTCCTCAAGAAAATTTGTAGCAATTACTGCTTTTAGAGAGACAACCACAGAATACAAGGAATATTTGAATAAAGTTTTCATCCTTGTATGAGACTCAACAGCAGCCCTCACCCATAACCCTATCTGTAACTGGAACTGTAATTTTCAGTTCGGTGATAGATTTGTATCACTAACGTCGTTGAGTAATTTCCAGCCACTATCACTAATTGACACAAATGAAAACAAACTACATGGTATAAATATAAGAGGCTACTACAAAAATATATTGGCTCTGTGTTAGATCATTTGTTAGGGTCGTTGATATTTCACGTTTTGAATATAATAGTTGTTTATTTCTCGCTTATTTACAGTGGTTGTCTAGTTTAATTCAATCAGTGATGTCAGTGATCTAAAAATCGACCATTTTCCATGGAAAACCTTATGATAATAAGAATTTGTTTTTATCTATAAGTGGACTGATGCTTGTCCAGTTAACCCGTCAGGTAATGCTCTGAAATCTAAAAGCGATGTCGAATACATATTTGTTCAAAACAAATTATGTAGTGATTAAAATCTTTTATTATTTTCTGGATTTAATGACATATCATTGGGTGATTTATGAATGATGAAAGTTAGGCCAATTGACTCTGCTAAGCGAAATGATTGATCTCAGTTGGTGTAATCGCTCCTTAAATGAATAATGTAATACAATCTATATTTTTATTAATTTTATAGTTCAGTTCATGAGTCAATTAAAGCTAGACCAACATGGAAAATCTGGAAGCACTGGAAGGTCGTCTCGTCCTAGTATGAGACTCAGCAGTGCTCATCCACGACCCGGACCTCGGAATTCGAACCTAGGACCTATCGGTCTTGCGCGCGAACGCTTAACCTCTAGACCACTGAGCCGACATCCAATAGTGTTAATGTCTAATCCAATCCACAGAAGTGCATTACCGGGATCGTGGATTTGCACTGCTGAGGAGTCCCATACTAGGACGAGACGACCTTCCAGTGCTTCAAGTTTTTCTATGGTGGGCTAGCTTTAAATGACTCATTGACTCAACTATAAAATCACTAAAATCTCGACAAAAATCCCTTTTGATAATATTTTTTTATTATAAATACCAAAATCTATATATTTTCAAAATGTATTGTTAAAACTGAACTCTCTTCATTTTTCAAGCTATTTTAATCAAATATATTCACTTTCTTTATCCAATAGACATTTACCGATCATAAATCATTTGTAAATCATATTGAATCATCACACGTTACTTCACATATATCGAATAAAGAATATTACTGTTATTGGGAAGGTTGTCGACGTCAATTGAAACCATTCAATGCGCGTTACAAATTAATTGTTCATCTACGCATTCATAGCGGTGATCGACCAAATAAGTGCACGGTAAGTCAGATTACTATATTTCATCTGATTATTATTATACTTAATAATATAACTTACGTTTACAGATGGAGGCCTTTTTTATGCACCGTGATTGTTTTAAGTGATACTCTGATGTTTCCAAAACTGAGTATTTTAATTATTTATATTACAACCAAATCTTTGACATCATCTTACAGTAGAATTTAAGAACATATTATGTTCTATGTGAAGCTCTAAACCGTATATATCTGTGTTTCACTGTTTTGACATTCAGATTTAGACAGTATTCTATTATTAAAACACTACAATTATCAGTATGGGACTGTGCAGATTGCCGAGTCTCATTTCAGTCGCGAAACTATTCGAGTTAGCAGCCACTGTGAACCTAAAAGCATTGAATAGATGTTTCGTCCTAGTATGGAACTCCCAAGTAATGAACAAAGTTATAGATGCGCTCTGTTGAAAAGCTTCGTTATAGTATTGTTTGTATAACAATTTTCAGTCATTCAAAACTGATATGATCACACTCCATGAGCTTTTCAGGTTAATTATTGGTTATCTAGATTAAGACCAGATTATCACGTTTAACTCTTATCCACTAAATTAACAATAACATTTATTAAAAATAATATTTATCCATAATTAATTGATATTCATTATGAGATTGAAACTCAGTACCGATTGCTTGTAGTTCAAGTCTAAGCATCAACATAGAGATGAAGGTGCATCAAGCTGATGAATTTAAAATGAAATGAAACACTATACCTAAGTCCCACTGCTAAAAATAACATAAGATAATATAAGCATGTGACTAAAGACGATATCGAAGCCCCTGCTCAGGGTTCACATATATTCAGGGCAGAGACTAATAGAAAGCAGTATTGACATTTAATAGCTCAAAAATACAAATCCATATAAAGAACACCTTTGTCTAAATTTTATATATTAGACTTGATTTATTATATTTTTATCTACCTTTAAAGTACCCTGGTTGTATCAAAGCGTTTTCTCGTCTGGAAAATTTAAAAATTCATATACGTTCACATACTGGTGAAAGACCATTTATTTGTCAACAAGACGGTTGTGATCGTACATTTTCGAATAGTTCTGATAGAGCGAAACATCAACGTACACATATACACACTGTAAGTTTATATTTATAAATTTTCTAATGAGAAGCGTTAATTTTATTAGTAATGTCAAGCACCAATTTAATGAGTTATCAGTCAAATACAGAGCAGAACTTGAAAAATACGATTATTGGTTACTACATTACCACAGTACGAAGAAATGATCAAGAAAAATGTTAGATTTTTCAAAGCAATAACCTTATGGGTAGTAGTCGTAGTTGTAGATATTTTATCACAGTAAAAAGAATGACATCTTATCAATGAAAGAGTTCTAAGAAAACATTAATCTTCTTGGTTCATAAATTGTTTTTTTAAACCATACGCCTTAATGCTCAAGCCTATTTTTTGAGTAGGATGTTTGGTGAAGACAGTCACATTTCATCGTTTACTTCAAAGATTAACAGTAGCTAAACGATCATTGAAAATCATAAAATACTGAACATTTGTTTCATACTGGTATAGAACTTTATAGCTGCATGTACTTACGAATCCCTTCAAGGATAGAACTCGGGGTCTTTAGATACTGACTTGGGGTCATATTCACCAGATTACTGAGTGGTTTGAGTCTTTAGCTACAGTAATTAAACAATATTATGTGACCATCATTCAATACCATCGTTGGGTTGCTTATATATTCCTGACATTTTCGAAATTCACTAGCCGCGGCTTTCCATTAGAACATTAGGAATGAGGCACTTATTGATCACTGACATAAGATGATAAGTGCACTATATCATGAGATAACTGAAATTAAAGCATAAACCATTGGACGGTCACTCAATGTTTTAAAAGTAACGAGCTCACAAGGAGGCCTGGTGGTTTATGGTTCGATACTTGGTAGTGTTATGGATGCTCATTGTTGGCATATCCTATACTGAAATAAAATTTCTTTTCAAAGCCTCCTATTTTCTTCCAATGGTTATCTACAGTTTATAGAACAAATTCATTGTAAAACATTATAATTAGTGAATATATTAAAGAACAATGAGTCTTAGTATTTTTATAGTTTAATTTTTCCTATTAAAACAAACTGAAATAAACAAAGCTTTAACTGTTACATATTTAAGTCAATCCATTCAACTTTTATTAACATAGAATGAGAAGATAACTAACCGTAGACAAATCATCACAAATAAGAATGTTTATTATAAGTTATATTGTGGTTAATTTATTCCTATTGATGTACATCTCATGTCAAATACTTTTTCTCTTCTCTCTATTCATTCACATATACTGGTATTTTGTTTTATTTTGTAAAAAAAAGGTTGACGCCGCTTTTGATTGTTTCATTAATAAAGAAAAAACAAAACATGACATTAATAATAATAATAATGCTAATTATTATTATTATTATAATCATTATAATTATACATAATTTCACTTGTATCATTAATCATAATTGACTCTATTTAATGATGAACACGTGTTCAGGTTGATTTGTATTATTATTATTATTATTATTATTATTATTATTATTATTAATAATCAAAATGGATATATTAATTAATTACATTTTTAATCAAAACAATAATTACAAAATATGAGTGTTATATTATAGTTGTATAGGATACAAATAGAAGATATTTTGAAAGATTTTCTAGAGAATACACTTTCATAGTTTGTTATAATAATTTATCTAAATAGCAGCAATACTGACCACAATCAGACTCGAACTTAGTAACCGTCTTCAATAATTATTTGAAACTTGATATTGTTTTACTTGTATCTTCCCATCGATGTTTAGGATTGCAATTGATTAGTTTGTTGTCGTTATATGCGCATATGTTCAGATCGCCTCGAGATAGCAATAAGTCACATGCTATTTAAGCAAAGATGGATAGTAGTTAGCAGTGGAATCCTGTTTGACGAGCGTTCCATCGTATTTGAGACTCGTCAACTGGATGTACCTGCATCCCAAAGTTAATGTTCATCCCGGGACTCGAACTCAATACCGTTCGCTTCAAACGCAATGCAGGTACATTCAGCTGACGAGTCCCAATAAGGACGAAACGCGTGTCCTGGAACTAACTGCTAACCATTATCCATCTTTGTGTAATATATAACGATCGAAATTGATATATTCAATCTTGATTCACATTTTAAATGTTTATTTCTACAAAGTCAGTTAATTCTATTGTGAAAATAAAGTTTCCTTTTACATTCTTAATAATAAGAAAGAACTGTTTATATTTTAGAGTAACAACGACAGTTTTTTTCTTCATTATACTGCGAAATCATTGAACCGAAATCCTTTTTTACAGAAAACATTATACCTTTCTTTCATCACTTCCATTCATTTCTGAAAGAATCCCTAACATACTACACAAGTGTACATTTCTTGTCTAATAATAGGTCTAAATTATTAATTGGTTTCTACATACATCAGAAGGGATTTTTGTGGATATTATAGTAATTTTAATAGTTGAGATCATGAGATCATGGATGCCGGTTCAGCGATCTGGTGTTTAAGTGGTCGTGCGTGAGACTGTTAGGTCCTGGGTTGAAATCTCGCGAGGCGGGGTCGCTGATGCGCGCTGCTGAAGAGTCTTATACTAGGATGAAACGGTCATTCAGTGCTTACAGTTTCTCCATGGTGGTTTAGCTTTAATTGATTCATGATCTCAACTATTGAAATTTACACTTATTATTATTATTAATACAAATAATCATTACATTCAATTATCCGATTACATGTTGTCATTTCTACTCGTTTATTGTTTAATAGAGAAGTGGTCTTGATAATTAAGAAGTTAATCAAACTATGAATGTCTTTGATTACAGTTCCAACTAGTTAGGAAGCGTTAAAGCGAGTAAAATCAGTGTTTTATTCTAATGCTTATTTAACAAGCGAATAATATGTTATCTTCTCACTAATCAGGTACAATATTTAAAAAATGAATTCAAATAATTCCCTACATTAACACGAACTTATATCAGCAGGAATAACATCAAATATCAGGTAGGAATGTGTTTTGAAATTATTTGACAGTATTTGCAGATAATTCTACGATATGGTCAGAATTTGAACTTTCAGTCTTCGTAGCAATTGCATTATCTTTAAAGTATTACATTTTTATCCAGTGGTATATTTTTTTACTTATACCTATCATCGATATAGCATAACCATCATTTAATGCCGTTGGCGATAACCATCCTATTCTTGACTTGGTCGAACTCCACCAGTCATGATAAGTTAATAATAATTAAGTACACGAGTGTCATAAATCCACAAAAGGTTACTTTCATTAAAAAACTGGTTTATCAAGTAAATATGACGATAATCAAACTTTCTGTGTTATTATAATTATTACGCAGAGTTTTCACAGTACACGGCTTTGATTTTCATTCTTACAAACTTGATCTTTCAACTGTATTAGGTAAAATTTGATATTCTTACTATTTCTGTTTGACTTAAGACTTTTGTAGTAAGTATATGTATAAGTTGAAAAGTAAGGTTACGCAAGGTGAGAATGGAAGAGGGTTGATAAGTAACGTAATAGTAGGATGTTAATAAACTTCTCAGGCACACCCTGGGATTGCCTATTGAAGAAGTGTGCCTGAGAAGCTTATTAACATCCTAAAAGCCCTATACACAAACACCTCAGGTAGAGTGAGGGCATACAACCACCTTTCTCCATTGTTCCATTCAAGCAGTGGGGTTAGACAGGGTTGCCCAATCTCACCATTCCTCCTCAACTTCGCCATCGATGACATTCTGGAAACAGCTCTGATGGATGTGAGTAATGGTGTTGTCGATCTGTTGCCTGGAGAAAGACTTCTCGACCTTGAGTATGCGAATGATATTGTTTAAATGTGCGATAATGCCCAAGCCACGCAATCCGCACTTAATCAGTTGGCAATCAGTGTCCGTAGGTATGGTACGTGCTTTGCAGCTTCGAAGTGCAAAGTACTTCTACAAGACTGACAGAATTCTGATCCTGTACTCACTCTGGATGGTGAGCAGATAGAAGTAGTCGAGTTCGTGTATCTAGGTAGCTGCATAAGTGCTGGTGGTTGCGTGAGTGATGAGATCAATGCACGTATAGTAAAAGCCAGAGTGGCTTATGCCAATCTGGGCCATCTTTGGCGCCTTCGTGATGTTAGTCTGGCTGTAAAAGGTCGGATCTACAACGCGTCGGTGAGAGCAGTTTTGCCCTATGCTTGTGAAACCTGGCTTCTCCGAGTTGAGTATGTTAGACAACTCTCTGCGTTCGATCATCATTGTCTCCGAAGGATTGCTGACATTCAGTGGCAACACCATGTTAGTAATGCAGAGGTTCGGCACCGTGTGTTCTGGCACAGAGACGATAATGCAATTGGTGTCACCATCTTGAAACACTGACTTCGTTGGCTTGGAAACGTTCTACGAATGTCGTCCCAGAGAAAGAAAGTTGCAAAGGGCTAGCTTGTGTTGGTCATTCTCGACTCCTTGGCTGGGGTCCGAGAGATGGTGTAACACAGTGGCTAGAGACGTTATCAGATATGGCTCAGAATAGAAGCCAGTGGCGATCATGCTGTAACCTTCTTTAACTTTCTTCATAAAAAGTGGTTGTAACTTACTTAACTGAAAGATTTCTTCCGATTGTACCTTAATATTAATATTATTATACTAACATGCACTAGAATGTGGTCGTTATTGTCCCTTTTTTTCTTATGCGCATCTTGAATTCTTTTTCTCTTCCCATTCTCATTGTTACTGTGTGGCGCATATATATCTGGCGCCCCCTTGTACCAATATTTATGTGTTGAAATAAATAAATAAATAAATAAATAATAAGTGTATATAATTTCTCATTTACGTATAAATATTCAAAACTGGAATCAATTAATCACGTTAGCCATATATGAATCCTAATTGGGTCACCTAGATATAGCCTTAAGTTACACACTTTAGCATATCTGGTATAAAGTTTGCAGTGGAATCCATGATGTGCCTTTCGTCCCTTTCGGGACTCATCAACCAGGTGTGTCCGAACTTACAAACCCTTATTGATATCTTCATACCTTTTGGAAAAGTTATTGGCCTTCTAGATTCAGCAGTTCTATGAGTAACACGTTGGGCATTTGAAGAGAGTGGTAGTGTTCGAGTCCTACTTTGATCATATCAACAATAAGAAACAGTCAAACCCGACCGACGAGTCTTGATAAGATCCTGAACGTTATTATTAGTCAGTTATCAAATAGATCATAACTTTATCTATGGTTGATGAAGAACTATTTAATGAAATGTTAATCAATTATGTTTTATTTGAAATGTTCTAGCACACATATGTACAAACAACTTAATATTTTGTTAGATTGGGTTACTTAGTTAAAGAAAATATAGAATTATTTCTGTGATATTATAATTTTTATTATTTTGTAATTGCCAACTAAACAGAATATGCTTATTTAAAGGTAGATTTTTTATGATAACAATATGAGGCGATTCACCTAATTCTGCACAACTAAATATATTTCTTAGTGTCCATAATTTATTTACAATTGACTGATCACTGGGTGATAATCAGTGTCATGTATGTCAGGTCCTGTTGACTACCTCCACTCACCATCTTATGTCAATACTTTATATTTAAATATTATAGCAAAGAAAAATGAAAAGAAATGAGATTATCAAAAAGCAGTACTTGTTAGAAGAAGTCAACTTTACCACTTGACTAGTAAACTTTACAAGTTGAACAATTACAAGAATGAAATCAATTGAATTCTGTAAACTCTCAAGAATTTAAGTAGGATTCATGGAATACTTTGAAAGTTCGCTTGACGATATTGATTAACACTTAATTGATTTAATGAAAATTTGTTTAAGGACTAGAATAGTTTGAGATAATCAATAATTTTTTCAATGAAAAAAAATAATATCACTCCTAAATTTTATGATTCAAATTAAATTTAAATCATAAAAGTATTAATATAAACCCTTGATCTTAAAAGTGCTATAGAGTACTGAAAAAAAACATTTCTGGACATTTGTATCTCCTAAAGAAACTTCGATAATTTTCACAACAACAGAATCATCAAAAAACGAATATTCTAAGTATCTACAATAAGAAAATGCATAAGAGAAATTATATAAATGAAATGATAAAGTCTTTTATGTTTAATTTGACTACTTTATTATACATTTTTCTTAAGACATTAATTGTAAGGCTGTGATCGGAGGCAGTCAACAGGAAACCGTAAAACTATGTTCCATGCCATTTGGCATTTGTCATCAAAGTGCTTCAGTAATCTTAAAGAAACTTATGCTCCTCGGCGGGTTTGATCCCTTGTCTCTCAGTCAGAGATGTAACCATTGAGTTATTGAAGGCATCGACTAACCTCCTGTAAGACGAAGATATATTTACAGGTCAGATCATGTGATCTCAGTCAGACAACCAACAAAAAGCAGGAGGCACTTGACAACTGTTTAGTCCTGGTTTGGGATTCTTCAACAGTGCGCACCAAACTCAAGACCTTCAGCTGAGTAACTAATCCTATGTCCAAAATTACACATGTTCAACTCCGGTCATTTTGCGATGTTGAGTGATCATGTTTTATTGTTTGAGATGGATAACCATCTCACACTCCAAATGATTGAATATATTGAAGTTGGACACCTTCACTACCGGATTCCAGCCCAATGATCTACACGTTAAGCGCTTACATTTAGGGCTAAACGTCCTAATTTCGGTTGGAGTAAACGAGAACACAATTGAATACAATCGAATGTGTTCTAATAAAACATTACGGAATATCTTAGTAAAATCTGAGAACCGTACAATAAATACTTCATATGCAAAATGTCTCAGACTTTATTATTCCTTCATTTTCACACCATTCTGTTCTTGCACTCTTTTCTTGGATCTTCTCAATCTTGTGAAACCACGTATTTTACTTCCGATTAATGATGCACACTTATTATATTTTTTGACATTAGTAGCACACACCACACGATCTTCAATGGCCGGGTTGTGGAAGTGCACTGCTAAATAATCCATACCAGGACGAAACAGTTGTCAAGTGCTTTCTGGTTCTCAATGTTTAACTAACTAAAATCAAAACGCGAAATTCTACAATCACCACTAATAGCCTATAGTAAAAATAATTATTAATTTGACTATTTTGAATTCACTTAATTACTTATTACTGTGTTAGAGATGAATTATGAAGAATAGGTAGAAACGCAAATGAGTAAATCACAGTTTTGTAATCATCGATTGAACTGTACTAATAGTAGTAATAATACTGTTAAAAATACTATTCAGTTTCACAAGAAAAAATGTGATTATGATGAATATAAATGTTACATTTGTGTACAGTTTTACATGATTTCTATAAATGAAGGAATCGTAAATGTCTTCATCATATGTGATGATAGCAATGAATGTAACTAGTAAAAAAACTTATACTTATTTTCAATGGTATACAACGGCATTTTTTTCATACCAGCTGACTAATTGTGCCTACATTAATTAGTCACTTGTTACGAATCAATAATGTGTTGACTTTATTCAACCACATTCCTATATGGTCACTAATCTGATTGATTTGACATAGTTGTGGATCTAAAGATGGTGTATAAGATGTTGTTTATCTACTATCCCAACGATATTGACAACTTGATGGAGTTATTTGATCAGTGGACAAATATCTAATTTCCACTAGAAATCAGTTCACGACCACAAAGTTCATTAGTGAGGTATCTGATTATAATACCAATTGATGAAGTATCACTTCATGCAAGACGTATACATTCTGTCAGGATTGTAGATATATCTTGTTGGGTAGTGTTAATTATTATGAAGCCTAGGTTTTGTGCATTTGATTATGTATGAGCTTGTATCATTAGCGAAAAAGGTATGAAGTGTCGAAACACCAAATGAATTTGCTACTTAAATTTCATTAGAAATAATTCAGAAATAAAGTCTGGTCTGCTCTACTTTACCTAAAATGATTATTGGTCTTTTAGTTTTCATAATAGTGATGAAGTTCTTATAAATAACATTATGAAGATCCGACTTCGTTATTAACTGTAACCCACTGATAATAGTTGATGATAATTGTACAAGGTCGTGATTTATTTAAACTTGAAAGTAACGACCAGTTGACTTTAACCCACTAACTTCAAACTACTGAGTTTACCTCAAGAGACTAAGATTACGGGTTTTATCTAGTGTGAAGTTGCGGACAAATACTACTGAGAATTATTTATCCTATAAAAGAAAGTAACCCTCAAGTTGATAAATTCTGTACCTGAGACAGATTCACAAAAACTATTGCCTTCATTATAAAAAGAACGTATGTGTATCGGGAGAACTCATCTTTTACTGACAGACACTTTCGTTTATAAGCACTTGCTATCAATGATTTTCATACAGAATAAATTAATCATATATTTGGTAGCTTTCTAATAATTTAACATCTGAATTACAGTCGCTGATGTTCAATTTTCAAATAAAATTAATATCGCTGTTATAGCTTCTTCCATTGCATTTTTTGAATTGTGATCAACAGTGTAATCCAGGAAGTGCGTGTTGTCCTATTTGGGACTTATGTATTAGAGGTACTTAAGTTTCAGTAATGTTACCACTCGAACTTAAATCCGGTATGTTTTACTTCTAATCCCGATACAGTATCCACTAACCCATTGAGTTTTGGTGGGTATTAACCTACACGACAGGTATGATATCTATTATTCTCAAGGGATATTTATATTCAGGACTGAATTTTAATGTCTCTTGGTGACATTCACACTCAGGGTTGACGCTTTGATACTGTTATTGTTAAAGAATTTTACCTTATTTTAGTGAACAAGATCAGATCTAGTTTAAATAGCAACAAAGAGAAAACGGAAGGCTTCACAAATTTGCCACATTTGCTTATCAGCTGAATGTTTACAGCCAAATGGTCACTGCGTAGTGAATAAAGTCATATTTGTCTAGTACTTTATTGCTAATCGAATCCTTTTGGTGGATTTGTAATTTAAATGACTCGATATTACATAAATTGTGTTTAGATGTAAGGTGTTTGTAGAGAACCCTGCTTGGCCAACGGGTCATTTTAGTCTATATCCGTCAGTATAATGCATCTGGAACCTTATTAGAACTGGTGATTTCTGTTGGACCAGAATCTTAATAATTATAGGCACGTTTTACTGACAAGTATCAACTAACACAAAACCTAAATCTAGGATTTTCCTACCGACTGCCTCCAATAGCCTAATGACTAAAAGATTATAAGAAATAATTAGTTGCATAAAGTGAATATATTATATTGCTTATTAGTAACTTTTGCATTACATAAATAAATAGATCTATACTACTTTCTACATTTTTATTGATTTACAGAAACCATATGCATGCAAAGTAATTGGTTGTGCCAAACGGTATACAGACCCAAGTTCTTTACGAAAACATTCAAAATCGCATTCGATTTTTGAATTAAGTCAATCATCAAAAAGTGATGTTATCAAAGAATGTAAACTAAGAAAAGATTTAAAACTGAATTGTTCTAATCAGTTAAATATTCTCGCACAAAATCAAAAAACGATCATTTTCCAGGGAGATATAAATTATTCACAAAGGTATTATCCAGAAAACAATACTGTTTCATATAGTATTTATGGGTCATTTAATGACACAATACCTTCTTATTGTATTCAAAATAACTTAAAGTTATCTAACAGGAATTGTACAAATATTCAATCTGATAACATGACAAAAATAACTAATGATTTACCCTGTTCATACATTTCATCCCATCAGTCTACTGTAAGTTATTGTTTATTGAATACTTTCTATTGTACTAAAATAATTGCTGACATTGGTACACGTGGCATTATAAGAACGCAGGAGATTTTGGAAGATTTTTAAATTCCTTAGTTTGCATTACGAACCGATCTTTGTTAGTAATTGTTGAAAATGGGGAAAGTACTAGGCAGCTTATTCATCCTAGTTTAAGACTCCTCAGCAGTGTAACACGAGTAAACGACTTTCAGAAGTGATAAAATAGGATAAAACAACTGTCTAAAGATCCAGCTAAATTCAGTTCATGATGCTAACTCTCTTGTTTTACGGAGAAACTCATCACTAATTCTTATTGCTGATTAAATGATTTCATGAGATCGTTGGGTTGATGTTGAGCTGATGACTTAATTGGAAGAAAAAAAGGTTTTACAGGTGAAACTACTGAAAGATCATTAAAATAGCATCTAAACATTAGATTGGATAGTAATGTAAAGCGATCGAGGTTGCTAACCTGGGATATTTCGGTTACAAGGTAGTCGTATTATCAAATCAGTTATGAGTAGCTATATTTAATGCTGTGTTGGATTACAAGATTCAGTTTCACCATTCGCATAATATATGTATGCTCTATTAAGTAAGTAACATCCGAAAATTTTCACGTGAACTCGAATTTGTGTAAATCAGTACTATTTCCTTCAGACTGCTACCAGCTACCTAATATCAAAACATACAATTTCGAGTAGCTTAAACTAATAGTTATATTTCGATTTGATTGATAGAGTTCAGTCAGGTTGAACTGCTAGAAAAAGTGACATTGTTATCATACCGCTATAAGTCATTTGTAAATACCTTGGTATTATGGGAGGTCAGTTAAAGGACAAATAGGTAGGTTGTAATGTCTCAGATTATGAGACTGGATGACAGGTCCAAATTTTACAGTCAGTATCAGCTACCTCAAGATTGTAGGTATACCTTACAGAAGAGTGTCAACTAGCATAAGATTTATATCAGAGGTTTTCTTCTAGCTGCCTTCAACCACCTAATATTGAAATTAAAACTTTGATATTTAAGTTAGTAAATGCAAAAATCGTTGAATTTTCTTAATTATCAATTTTCATTATTATTATTATTTAAACACATAAACATTGGTACAAGGAGGCACCAAACAGATATGTGCCATATAAATCATTCGATTTATATAAGGGCTAGGATACTGCTTGGGTGCCCAAACCGAAGCAGGTGGTTTTCTTAGGGGGCCACAACCCGAGCCTTTGACCTAAAGGTCTAATCCACAAGACAGCAGAGCAACGTAAGGAGATGCAGTCCCATGGTAGCCGGTGACCAACGATTGGTTCATACGTCATTTGTCCCCTCAGGATCCTGGAGCTCATGTACACGATTGGTTTGGAATCAGGGTTTTCCAACTCCCCTAGGTGGACCCTCCATGTCCACCATCTCGGTTAAAGTACCAAATATTCGCTTTTCCTCCTCCCAATTTCATAAACAACACCCCTGCCACGAGAAGGCGGTGGGTAGGAATTCACCGACTACTTACTTAATAAATTCTGCATATAGTTATCTACATAGAACCAATCAACTGTGAACTTTTGTCATTTACCATCTGACCAAAAATTCAGCAATTTATTTGAAAAGAAATTTACAATTTATGATAGTCGATAGAAGAGGTATGGTAATAATTTTAAACGAATTAGGTAGTTAATAATAATGATGATCGAATATTAACGAGGATACAATGGTGATGGACTACCAAGCATTACTTTGGTTGAAAGGTTTACGGCGAATAGCTTTATTTGTTAATAGTATTACTCAAAAACTTATATCATTTAGAATATTGTTGAAAACCAGGGAGCGATGAACGGGAAGTAATTCGAAGTACGAGATTCCTCAGAGTTACTGAAGTATACACCCATTAGGAATGAAAATTATGATAATCGAGTTTCATGTTGATCAAGCAGTTAGACAACTTAGTTGGCATTCAATAGTACACATTTCCAAATTCAATCAAATCCTCGACACAACATAGCAACCATACAATTCTATTGTTACATTTGTTTCACTTGCAAGTCTATTAGAATCCATTATTTATTGCTTCCCACTAAACACTAGATATTCATCTCATAAGCCCTGATCTCGATTCCTGGCAGCATTTCAGCCCCTTAGGGTTGAGGAATATCATAGTACGAAAAAACAGCTATCTTATGTTCCATAGCTATTAACATTAACCCAGCTGATGTCGATACATGATGAACATCAACTACAAACTAACATTACTAACAATGTAGGTATCATTACCAAGGATTAGTTTGATAATTTCAAATAAATTGAGCATTAGGTAGATTGTTGTTAATAAATAATATGTTTGTAATATCCCAATGAGTATAGAAATTAGATTTTCCAACGTTTCGTGACTTAGTGTAAGCCACTTCTTCAGAGAACAAATAACCAGATTAAAATTAATCCAAGTTTAAACAGTACAGAGGAAGAATGCAAGAATATTATGTGAAAAATAAAAAAACGGGTCTGAATAAATCACTGTCATGTCATTTCGGTCAAGGTGATTCATAAGCGACTTATTTGTAAATTTGTGTGTATATGTGTGTGCACTGTTAAGGATGAAAATTGTGTGACTTTTATGGTGAGAAAGGGTAGTGTTTAATTTGTAAGATAATGGTGTCAATTGTAAATAATATCAGACTAGGTGGCTAGGATAGATAGTCCAAATAGGATGTATGATAAAACCTTTCCTGTTGAGAGCAGTAGGATTAAGCATTATATGGAACGTTTCAACTACTCTCCTTTCTTTGTAATTGGAAAAACCTTTTTGTAGTATTTTGATATTTTTGAAATCGATATGGTGGTCGTTGAAAATTGCGTGTACTGCTATTGCCGATTTAATTTGAAGTCTATTCAGTTCTATGGGATTATTACGAGGTTTCTTTGTGTACCTAATATGTTCTTTAGCGTGAGTAAAGATATAGAAAGCATCACTATTTAAACTTGGATTAATTTTAATTTGGTTATTTATTCTCTGAAGAAGTGGCTTACACGAAGTCATGAAACGCCAGAATTTTTCATTTCATGGGGATATTACAAATATATTATTTATTTATTACTAACAATGGTTTTTTTTGTTGATAAAAGATTAATCATACATTGATTATTTTTGACTTTCTCTGTGATATATATATACGAGAAATGCGTCTGTGTATATGAACATATGTGTTTATTTTGATAACCCTCATATGAACAGATATACAATTGCATATGAGTACATATAGTGATTAACATGAGAACCAAAACACATTAATTATAAAAGATTTATTTTGGCTTTTGTTTTTTTTTAGAATGAAAAAACACTTTAACTTATTCATGTATGATAACTGACATGGATTTAATAACCCAAATTGTTTCGTTGTTTTATTGTTATATATTTTGTGAGAATTTCTCTGAATCCGTCAATTATTTTTATTCATGTATATTAATCTGTATAAGAATACACTATTTATCATGAAGATAGTCATCCATATCAATTTAAGGTATACTCATACTTTTTATTTGACTTATTCAATGATAGAATCATTACATTTCTAATTAAACATGTCACAGCAACTATGGTTGATAGACGTTTATTTTAAATAAGCTTACATGCTAAACTCTATGTTTTCTCTCTTTCTAAAAAATAGTACCTATTGTAATTTCTTGACCAGTAAGTAGTGATCAAAATCATGTTTATCCAGGCATTTAGCCTTCTTCCATTCAAATTGTAATTCGACGCCTCAATATCTCATACACTATGCTAGGATGTTAGATAGTTAGAGGTAGGCGGCAGGAAATACTTGGCATAGGTTTCATGTTAGTTGTCACTCGTCAGTAAAGTGTACCTCATACTATGAAGTTGAATAGAGTGGGCTTGAATACTAAATAGTGGAGAAATAGTTCTCTGAAGATTATGGTTTCTCCTTGCTGACGTTTGCCAACTAGCATGAAGGCTGAGTCAAGTAGGGTTTTCTGCTAACTAACTTCTACTGCTTAAAAAGTGATTGTGTAACTTTACCAAATCACATTTTATTATTCTTATCATTATTACAGTAAACCTGACAACATTTAGCTTATTTTCCGTTATACACGTGAAGTGAGTCTTTATTCATCTACTTATGATAACCTTTCAACCTGACACATTTATTATGTGGTCAACATTAAATCCACTATTTTCTACATAGAACATTGACTAATTTACTTTAAGTATCATATGTTAAGCATGGGTTCGCCTTTAACTATAGAGTCTTGAAATTGACATAATAGACTGCGAATGGTAAGTTTAAACATTCATATTACTATTGAACACTTGGAATATATAAGGAACATACTTTTCCTTAATGAATTAAAACATAAATCTGATTTAAACCTTTGTTTTTCTACAAACTGATGCCGATTTTGGCATAGAGGTGATTTCTGTCAAGCAACTATTGAATGAAATATTTAAAATAGACCGTATCGTACGTTTGTATGACCTAGTTACATGTTAACTTATAAAGAAGATAGACAGTTTTACATAGTATAAAATTAATCGCCTTTTGCAATTTATAAATGCACATTCATTAGGAAAATACATAAGTTGCATGTAATTACAAAGAAAGAAATCGTTCATACAAATAGGTACTGTACTCATAGGTCTGGTTTCATAATGAGCTTTCTGTAATGTGTGTATCTTTCGGTAGATTAACTTATATCTTATCAATAATATCTAATAACAAGTTTGATGGATTGTGTAATCACTAATGTTACAAACTAGAAGATTTTGTATTTTTGCGTAGTACTTTACTCAACCGTTCTGGAGAAATTTCGCTTTATGAATGACCAATAAACTTAGCTTCATAAGATGAGGTGGGCGAATTAGTATGCATCGAACTGTCAAAATGAGAATTTTCTGCCCTGATAATATTTGTCTTATTTCTTAAACGGGTGTACAAGATTTTACAAACTAAAGGCTTATTCACTGATATGTAAAAGCATCCAGCACAAAGTAAGCATGGATGGAATTGTAATTTACGCAACCAATCCATGATAATATAAATCCAACTTATATTCATCGACCAACATGTGTTAAGTAAATGGTGAAAATTCGGTAAGAAATAGTAAAAGTATGAAAAATTATTTCAGTTGATTACCACAAATACTTTACCAATGATCTTCAATGACTCTTAGAGTGACATAATGGAAATCTAGTCTATTTTCAGCCAATCAGAATGCAAGCGATATAAATGAGTAATTTGTTACTTGGAAAAACCAAAAGTGGTTGTGATCAGAATTTAGGGTTAATAGTTTAACTTAACATTAAAGACTAAGGGTTAAAGTTAAGGTTAGGAAGTATGGTAAGAGATTAGGTTTGGGACTAAGTTTTAGAATTAAGGTTCAGATTCATTGTTGGAACTTCGGGTTATGAGCTAGCGCTAAGATTAAGAATCTCGGTTAGGCGTTTAGGTAAATAGTATTATTTAGAAATAAAATAGAATGCCACGTGATCATGTGTAAATAATAATGGAATCAGTTCTTTAATTCAAAATATCAAGAATATTAAAGTTACATCTAAAAGTCCATAAATCCTAGTCCATATTCTTTAATCTTTCTGTGTTAGTGATTAAACACAGGTGGGTCTTATTCGGTTCTTAATAAGATACAAGCTACCCGCAGTTGGGTTTTGTGTTTGGCTGTTAGATCAGATTAGTTTGTTAGTCAAGTGTTCTTTTATCCATCTACATAATACAGGACATTTTCTTTTTCCGAACCACTCACAGATACTGTTCAATAATCCCGTAGAGATACATCTCTATTTTAAAAAATTTTATTTTATATTTATTTATTGTATTATCTATCTATAGGTTGATGTAAATTCTCCATCACAATGTTCATATTTTGATCAATTTAATTCATATGAAATTGATCATACACCTAAACTCAAATATCACTGGAATGAAGATTCAAAATACACTTACCACCACCACCAACACATTAAACAATATTGAACAAAATATTAATGGTTTCAATTCAAATTATTATTATAATTCATGGATGACCATTCATTTAAAAGACAAAAAAGTGTTTTCTTTTTTTCAGGAATCAATACTCATAGAAAACGGCAAATTTTTTATCTATTGGTTTTCTCTAGTATTTAATCTTTGAATATTGGATTATTAAATTATTTCTGTTTTTCAATATAACTGGGGTTCTGTCAACAAGAACAACAAGAACGACAAAACAGAACAAGAAATTTCAATGTTCATTTTAATAATTTCATGAGGTTCTTGTTTTATTAACTATTTGTTACAATTGAGTTCTCATATTCTGATAAAGGATGCCGGCTCAGTGGTCTAGTGGTTAAGGGTTCGCGCGCGAGACCGATAGGCTCCGGGTTCGAGACTCGCGGGGCAGGATCTTGGATGTGCGCTGCTGAGGAGTCCCATACTAGAGTGAAACGGCCGTCCAGTGCTTCCAGGTTTTCCATGGTGTGGTCTAGCTTTAATTGACTCATGAATTCAATTATTAAATTGTTATAACTTGTGAATCCGTGTGCCCTGTTATTGTATAACGCAACGAAACCACCAATTAGAGAGCAGCGAATTATCGATCGAAGCAGTGACGCAATAAAACACGTGAGAGCAGCCTAGAGTCCTGATTGGTCTCGCATTGTGTCTAGACCAGCCAGTTGAGTCCAGAACACTAATCTCAGCCTCGGCAATATGAATCATTTATTCCAAACATAAGGGTTTATATACCAATCAAACAGACCAAAACGTACCATATAATTAAAAATAACATTTGTATAATATTTGACCCAAAGTGACTGTGAATGAGGGAGGTAGTGATAAACAATCAGGGAATAGTTCAAGAATGGTAAATCGTATAATAACAGGTCATAGGTCAAAATAAAACTCATAATAAGAGGGACATGAATATGAACAGTTTAGTTACATAACAATTATACGATAAAAATATATTCATAGTATTGGTCCATAAATGGATCCAAAAAATTACCATTCATTATTCTCATCGGGATATAAATTTATTACAATCAGTGAACTGACATATTGTGATGAATTAAGGCATTTGACCATTATAATCTGAACGTAGTGAATGTTTATGCTCTGTTTCGCTTGTTTCGGTTTAAATGGTTAGTTATTAAAGCTAGCCAGTGTGACTATATTCATTATACAGACGATGTTGGGAGACTATAAAAAGTGACCTTGAAGAGTTTTACCTACTTAATAACCAGTCAGATGGTAAATTAAAATCGAGTTAGTAAGGAGTAAACCGTTGTTAATATTCTGATTGAAATTCGATAAGTCTCGGTCGGGATACATTCATGGTGAGTGGATTTACCGTATATAGTCATTATAACACAGGCTAAGATAGAACAAGTAAGTGGCTATCTGGAATCAATAACTCTGTGGGTAACGAGTTGGTGTTTTGAAGAGAAGTGTAGCGGTTTCAAGTCCCATTTTAATTCCGATATACGAGTCTGGTGAGTTGAGGGGGTCGAAATAGCTACCAGTGCTGTGGCTATTCAGTGGATAGCAAGTATCATATTGTCTCAATTTCATTTTTGAAAGAGCTAGAAAAATCCTGTTCGCACTAATTTCTTATGGTAATGAACATTACATCTCAAAACTGTGTCATCTCTAGAATCTATAGATCGTCTTTTAGTCATTTCGTTTACATAATCGCAAACAATGGTAGTCCTAAATCATAACATCCTTGTTAAAATTCATAATTAAACGATATAAGGTTAAAATCTCCATTTTAAACATATCCCGTAAGCTCGAAATCGCCACGTGAAATCTGATTTGTTCATCAGTATAGTGGAAGCAGATTACGCTATACTTCATAAATAAAGTCACTCAAAGTCGTGTATAGGAATTTGGTCTTAGATACTGAATTACATTTATTTTTCATAAAAAGATACTGTGACAGTGAGATATGAGATAGTAACTATGTTAGTTATATTAAAGCAAACGGTCAAAATGTCATATTGGTTTTTTATACATACGATTATGATATATGGTTTATAAGGTCAATTATGTACAGATTTTCACGAATTCCAGTTTGTTTCATTTATATTATTTGAGAAATGTTTGAAACTTGATCAATGCATAGAGGTCATACAGACAGGCAATTATTCACCACACGAAGTGAGCTCATTTGTAGCGTATATCTAAATATCACTCTGGCTGGCTAAAGACTACAAAAGTCAGTCTAAAAATCAATCCTTGATTATCAAATTAATTCCGGTCACTTAGTTACATCGGAATTCTCCTCCGAATTCATCCATACAGTCAGAATTGATTCAAAAAGAATGCAACTGAAAACATGCACAACAGAGTCTTTACTTGTCCACCAATTCAAGTCTAACCAATGTGTATAAAACAGTATATTCAAACCCTCATTCTATCATAATCTTAACCTTTTTTACTATTCTCCTTAATCTTTTGTTTTCCCCTGTCCACTGTTTTGCAATTACTCTCTACAGCTACTAATTAGCCATTATTACTTGTAATTTTTCTACTTTAAATATTTATCATGTGAACAGCTATTTTCACAATGACGTTTTCCATTATCTGTTGGATTATTTCATAACTTTATTTTAATACCTAGTTTTTGTAAACAGTTTATGAAACGATACCGCTTCAACTCTTTATAATTGCCCAATATCATTCTATTTTACTACAGACTACTATTTTTGGTGAATAGTTAACTGTGAATGCGATTGTACAGCTAGAGTAAATGAAATCGTCTCCGAGATTTCTGACTTACACGGCACAAATTTTAGGTTACATTTATACTACTAACTTTAAATTTCAATAGGTAAAACAAATATACAAAACAACTTCTCCACGCCAACGGATATATTCACATAAAAAATAAGTGACAAAATGATTTAATGCATCATCGTTCGTTGACTTAATCAGAAAAGAGATTACCCACTGGGAGGGAAGAAAATAGCCAGCGATAAATTAAAAGGGTGATAAGATTAATTTATTGTTAAGTTGTACTTCTCTTGCATGATTTTTTTGGTGTTCCGGTTTCCAAAATATAAGAAAAACAGGCATAATTGTAATGAAAACAACGACAAAAAAGCGATCAAAAAAGAAGAGTGTAGGCTATTTAGTCTTATTAGTGGCATAACTGAGAATCATAACAATGATAATAACAATAATGACAATTATAATAGTAGTGGTTTTGTGAGCTCTGGTATATAAATATTTGCACAAATATTTTTAACTGCAATCGAAACGAGAACTGTGCGAACATTAATGAACATAGAGGATGTGACTGACAATGGTAACAACATTTAAAGCATTATTTAATGGTGATAACAATAAAAATATGAACAGCAGTGGACACAATTTAATCTTCTAATGGATTATGTTTTTTATTCATTGATTCACATAAACAACAAGCAACAGATAAATACGTAATATTAGATAAGAAAAATTTTGAACAAAACATTGATTCGTGGAATAAGGAAACAACAATGACGCAAGCGCAAAGATATATATATCTTACTGATCTATCTATCTGTCTAATAAGATAATACTCTATTCATGAAACGGAATGCTAATTAATTTCTAGGCTAAAATAGAGTAGTAGGAAATAAAATGAATGAATAAACAGATAAATATTAATTGAAAGAAATCACAATCAACTATATAGATTGTATTGTAAAATGACATTTTATAATAATACAAGGGAAGCAAATTGTTCTTTTTTTCTGGAAAATACATAACTTAAATGGATCTATTCAATTAATGGAAACCGAGAAAAAAGAACCAAGAGTAAGCGTATTTATCTTATCAAGGATTTGAGGTATGTATGGGAGGGGAAGTGAACACAGTAAAAACGAGATGATAGTTTCAAATAAAAAAAAGGATGAAACAATAGGAACAAATGAGTTTTTAAGCAATAAAATTCGATATTCAACTAAATACTATGAATAGATTTATTTAATAAATTAAATTCGGTCTGGAACCACTAAAAATAACGAGATGAGACAAACATAATCACACCTATCTAATATCTATTCAACTACTTACACTCAAATAAATTCTCTTCGTGTATATATTTATATGGTGGTGAGTAAATAGAGGCGATCGAGAATACAGTTTAGTAAAATAACGAAGATAAGAAAAATTACAATAACACTAAAAGCAAGGAAAGCAACAATCAATCAAAAGGAACATAAGAAAAGAAACCGAAAGAAAAGATGCGTTGAAGCTAAAGTAATATTAATGGTAACTATAACAATAATAATAGTAGTAACTGTTCATGCTTTGACTAATGTGATGTGATCAATTTCCTTCTTAAAAAAACCTTTCCGTTTGTTTCTGGCTTTAAATTAGCCGGAAATTTTTAATTACGCATAAAAATAATCAATAAAGCCATAAGATTCATGCAGAGTAACATTGAAATTGATTTCTTGTCTGTATTGTTTCTATTATCATCTGATTGTAGATCATCTGGTTCCCCATCGAGAGAACTTTTTAAAATTGATAAATTGTCATTATCATCACCTTGTTTTGCATCTGGAAAATCATAAGTAAACATACAAACACTAATAAAACAAATAGAAAAAACAAAGGTGTAAAGGTTTATGCATCTGGCATGTATTGTTATTATTAATCATAAGCCAAAATTAAAATCATGAATCGATCCAAGTTGGAGAACCATTGAAAATCTTTGACCAATAGATAACCGTTTCGTCTCAATATGAAACTCTTCAGCAGCGCGCATCCACGATCCCACGTATGGGATTTGAACCCAGTACCATTCGCTCCAAATGCCATCGCATTATCCCAGAGTGAACATCCAGCTAACGAGTCTCAAATAAGACGAAACGCGCGTCCTGCATTCCACTGCTAGTTACTACCCATGTTTGCTTATAAAATTTGTGACTTACGGTAATATCGAGGCAGTTCGCATAGGATGGTTATATGCCACTAAGAGACTGATCAATTGCAGTCCTAAGCATCAATAGGAAGATTCAAGTAAACAATTCCAAGTGAATTTATCAGATTATATATGTTTGATCTTTTATGATCAGATTGTTCTAAACGTTTAGCACAAATACGTTATATATTTCAGATTAACTCGATCTTCTCATTACACTATAGTCTTAATTAACTGAAGCATGGAATGTTTTTTAAAAACTGTTTCGATGGTTATTTATATTATGTGATGTGTGGGCGAGAAAACTGAATTGTTGTTTGCTTAGTTAGACTAGTAGATAGTCATATAGGTACTAGAAGTGTTATATATTTTCCTACCCTTATTATTGTTGGATTACTGTCGGTTTTCGGTGTGGAAATATACTTACGTTTTAGTCAGGATAGACACGTGTTCTTGATCTAAATTGTGTTGATGCCCTGTAAAATAAACATTGAAAGGGTATCTAGTGTAGATATTTGTCTAGGGTGAATTAACGTCCCATTCGTGTATATGGGGAAAACCGAACGTTATAATACTACTAAATAATCCTGATCCACTAAGATATACCCGTTTAAGTTTAGATCTCACTCTTGATACCAATAGTATGGGTTATGATTTGATAAGCAGTAGCACATAATGAATGTGTAGAATACCGATTGATAAATAATCGAATTGATATGATGTGGACGAGGGATAGTGGCTCACAGAACCAGATTATTGACACAAGACCCGCTAACCCACCTCTAACCGAAAACGAACGGTCATCTAAGACAAGACAGTTGATCAGTAGAATAGATTTTTTGATCAAGCAATGCATTATGTTTATTGACAGAAAGATACCGTGAAATTTCAGTTATGTAGATTGCATATTCCCCAATGAGTTAAGAGGCGAGACTTAAATTTCATCTGGCATATCAATAATTGAGATGACGTTTTGTAAAACTTATTGTCTAATTAAAGTTAGGACTTTTGGTAAACAATAATACCATCAGAATAATTTTAAACTAAAGATTTAAATCTTTTTGGGACTCTCCATTCTACAGTTGATGTTAGTGAAGAGTCCCAACTAGGACAAAACACGCGTTCAAGATTCCACAGCTAGCCACTATCCATCTCTGTCATCTATCCCAAAAGAGACTGATACATTGCAGTACTAAACATCATTTGGATTTAAACAACCAATAAAAATGAATTTAAGATTTAAAAGGTTACCTCTAATGAGCACGCAGACAATTGGTGTATTTTAGTAAATGTTTTGAATGTGAGAAGTGAACTTCATTATGTAATATGTATACAGATATTGACTTACCCAATAATTCTTTCATGGGAATTTCACTCTTCTCAAGTATTTCATCACCATCGTCGTTAGTTTCAGGAATGACAACTTTCGACAATGATTCAGCTGCTTCATCTGAATCCATTGGAAGAATTCCTTTCGGTCTTATGTAACGACATGATAAAATACCGTCGGCAACTTTTTCTGCATATTTACTATCAAATGTTAAACTTAAACGTTCTGCAGTATACATCTGTTTTGGTTGATGTTCTTGTTCAATCAGTTCTGATTGTACAAGTTGCTGAGGCCCAATTGAACCTGGCCATGTCGCTGGTATACTATCAGTTAGTTGAAATGCCAAACTGACGATTTCATCGATTTCCTAATTGGTTAACAATGTATAGAGTTTAATTTGAAGCAGGTTGATATAAATTGAAGCATATTTTCAAATAATGATTATTTTAGTTGAAAGAGTGTTTACAGGGACTGATTTAATTTATAAGCTATATCCAACAACGATTGGAGTTAGAATTGTACTATTGGATGACAAAACAGTAATAAAGCACTTACACTGGGAACTGAAAATCATTGATTCATTAACTAGTAGGCTCGTAGATGATCAATGATGAGAAACCCAAAACTAGAACAAAGCAACTCAAAAGTGCCCCCAGATTTTCAATGGTACTCTAACTGAGGTCGATTAGCAAATTATTATTTTGCTGAGAAAAAAATTATGACAATATTCTTTGTTCAATATTCGATGGTTGCTGTTTCCTATTAGGCAATTTAATTATATATATCGGTATCCTCCAACCAAGGCATGCTTCAATTGAACCGAGCATCAAAAGTATGATTTATTAATGTCATGAAGATATCAATGTTACTTAAATTTTTCAATTTTTATGATACAGTTTTATACGCTTAAGTGTAGGAAATAAAAGTGTACAGTAATCTGTCTAGAAAATAAAAAAGAAATCAATGTATTAAAAAACTATTTCAAAGATTTTTGAATCGAGAGACTAACAAGAAGGGGAGATCGCAACTATTTAGTCTTTTAAGTTACACTATGGAAAGTTTACATTTCAGTTGTTTAAGATTTCCCCAAAAGAAACAATGGGATGGAAAGATTAGCATAGATGCTTTAATCAACTCATTGATGCTCCTCATCTGAAAATTAATTGCTTTTCTTAACACGAAATTTAATCCAGAGATCCAGGAATAGTAAGATAGAAAGGAAGTACAAGCAGATAGCAGCATGCGTTCAAACGGGTCGAAGAAAATTGTGGAATGTCAAACAATTTAAACTTGAATATTTTTTAAACATATCAAACTATCGTACAGTCTAAAAATTTAAATAATATACACATGATGTTGAAAAATCGCCATTTCAATCCTCAATATTTAGCAACCCGATCGTTTTGGTGTGCGCCCTCCATTGGAGATCAGAAAAACCATACCCTTATGCCTTTTGCATACCTTTGGGCAAAGTGACAAAAGCTATTAAAATTATTCTCATGAATTTGCTTGAAGTTTTGTTATTATTGGTAAATAATTAAGTTTTTCTAATAATTCTATACTTAATACCTCAAAAGAGAAAACCTCATCTCTGATCACTATGATTTTTCTGTATTCCACTTTCTGACTACAGCAACATTAAAAAAGATGTTCATTCTCAATAATCCAGCATTCTACAAGGAATCCACCATGAGACCACCAATCAAATTGATCAAAATGTAAACTATCGCTAAAAACATGAGATCCAGCAGTAGGCTATCTTCAATTCCGTCTTAAAAATAGAACAGAAATTCATTCTGATTGATCGATTTCATTTATTCCAAGGCTTTCAGCATAGTATAGTTCTACCTTGATCAGTTACAAAATAAAAAATTTATTTGGTTGCTAGTTTCTTCTGACTGAACACTAAATTACAAGTAGCTAGAGGACCGATATGAATTAAGGGTTAGACAGTTGTTTATTGGTCACTGATAAATTAGATCACTGATCATACAGGTGGTAATGGCGAAATAATCAATAATCGGATTAAATAATACAGCTGCTCTTATAATAATGACACAATCACATGCGTTCCAAAATAATGTACGAATCAGTACTTTGTTAAGTTATAACGCAATAAAGAAATATTACTGTACTAACTTTTCCGTCCAATGATTTCGTATTCCTATCAGTTTCTTGTTCATTTTCTTCATCTTTTGGATTGGAATGTACAATCGTAATAACTTTATCTGGACTATTATCAGTATTCAACGGAATGTAAACCCATTGTAAGCGATCTTTAGAATGTGCTGGATATCCTTGACAATGTACATTAATCTGACCGTTTTCCAATTTTATTGGAGTAAGTATTTTTAAAACTAATTAAAGATATTTGTATATTGACAATAAAAAATAATTATCAGTAATATGAGGTTTTGTATAGATTACGGCATGTCTATAGTTTAAATCACGAACTAATCTTAACTGGACCATCAATGGAAAACCTGGAAGTTAGATAATAACACTGTTGGACGCCAGTTCAATGGTTTAGAGGTTATGGGTTCGAACTGTAGACCGAAAGTCCTGGGGTTTGATATGTGGTCATGGATTTTCTCTGCTAAGGAGTCTCAGACTAGAAAGAAAAGGTCACTCAATGCTTCCAGGTTCTCAGTGGTGGTCTAGCTAAAAACAGTTCGTTATTGAAACTTTGAAAAATAATTATCCAGAAGTAGCGTTAAAATTTGTGGGGATTATATATTGAGTAATAATGACCAATATTATGTGCACAGAGTCTCCTTTTAAGAAATTTAAAGCACTTAGTTCCTTTGATAAATTTAGATAGTGTAATAAGAAGATGAAGATGTTGGGGTATTCAGAAAATACCCCAGAAATTATCTAATGCTATTCCTGAATGAGAAGTAGTGCCATTTCCCCATTGGTCAACATTCTTCCAACGTGTCATCTCCTTATTGGTCAATATTTATTTGTGTCATTTCCTGAAGGTTAAATCTTGTACAATGTTACTTTCTATTTATGGTACGATGTAGTCTGTTTGTTTGGTATATAAACAGTGTATGTTTGAAATATAACGATTCATATCTCCGAGGCTGAGACTTGTGTTCTGGACTCAATTGGCTGGGCTAGACAGGGAAGCAGGACCAATCAGAGCTCTAGGCTGCTCGGTCGTATTTTGTGCGTCACTGTTTCGATCGATAATAGGCTGCTCTCTAGTAGGCGGATCACACGTTATAACAGAAGATTATCAGAACTATGTGATGTATTAGTGCAATACATTTTGAACAATCTGATCACACATATACTAGTTAAAATCGTTCATATATAAAGATAGAAGGCTAACTAGACTAGAAATGGAGGGTAAGAGGAAGAAAAGATAATAAAGAAAATTATGAAAAACTCGGGATAATAAGCTAACGTTACCAAGGTAGGTTAAAGGTGAGAACAGACTGCCTTTGAATGCATAAATGGAAAGTGACTTTTCATATTCCCAAAGCTTCTATAAACATTAGTATGCACTTTTGTACAACACCACAAAGGCCGTATTAAGATCAGTTTAATGACCTGTTTCAACTATGTATTTGGTAGTAGATAAGGATACATATTTACCATCTGCTCTTATTGGGTCGTTTGATTTTATTTGTTTTTGCAACTAGTTACATGTTCAGACACGGTAATTTTGAGATGACGATTAATCCTTCCTATGTCAAACCTCAATCAATCTGCGATGTTGCGCGACTATCTTCCATTATCTTCGGTGGGTGACTGCCTCATACCCAACACGGTTGAACTCCACTAGTGACGGCCTCTCACTAGAACTCCGTAACCCTAAACTGAAGATTTATAATATCAGTAAAGTTTCACGAAACATTTAATTAAAAGTGGAGAAACTTTTAACTTGACAAATTTCTTCATCACAGTGAAACCTATTTGATTATTTTAAAGAACAAAACGATACTTGAAACCGTACTCTCCTTCTTATCATATTGTAAAATTTAAAAAGGTGGCCTTGATGAAGAATTTTATTTATTAGGTAGGGTTTGTATCTAATCAATAAAATGTAGATTTGCATAATTAGATTTTAATAAAAATATATTGCTTTGAAGTTTAACGACTGGAAATTCACTTTTTATCCGTTGAAATAATGATTATGGATTTCCGGTTGTATTTAAGAATTAACAACAATACTATATTAAATAAACAAAGTCTCTCCTTGAAATTTCCTGTACTCTCCTACAGAGATGAAGTTTGATGCCTGATTAGTTGATTTTTCTTCACTGAAACCTCAAATTATTATATAATTGAATACAGTAGTTTAACAGCTTATCAATACTTCCTGGTTCACAAATGAGGTCAACACATGAAAAATACTACTACATATTACAGAACGAAAATTATTTTTTCTGAATAAACCTTATATACTCATTGAACATGTTATTGGTTAGTTGGATTCAGTAGTTTAGTTGATAATTGTTATATCTAGAAGGTTGTTTACTTGATATACCGCGTATAACTGAGCACTAGAACGCCAAAACCCTTCCAAGTCGCAAGGAGAAGACAGAAGACTAACGAAAGGAATATTATTCTAAACAGTGTCAATTATAGTACAAAATTTTCAGGTATTTATAGCTTTTAGTAAGAACGAAATCATCATTACAGTCCTCCAATCTGCATACAAAGGGGGTATTAGCATTGTCCAATCGGGAAGCTACAGGTAGGAATTCTAGAATATTCTTCCGAAAGGTGATTAGATGGAATATGTTCGGCATCTTCTGAGCCTCTTACAGCTTCCTCAAGTTCACCCGTGGTCTGTCGTCACAATAATACATTAGTGTTTGAAGAGAAACGTTCCAGATTCAAATCTAAGTGTGAATATCAACACTATAATGTAGGTTTATCGAAATGACGAATGTCAGAGAGGATACAACACGTATCCCAGATTCCACTACCAGATAACAAAACTAACTTTCCCAAAACATGTGACTGTATGGTAATCTGCTTAGAATGTATACATGTTAATAAAGTTTGATTAGTTTTATTTTTTAATATCAATATATCTGGAAGAATACATTCCTTTACAAATTAATAAACATTTTTATAATACTACACTTACCAGATTTCAGTGATATTTTAATGATTGCATGTGTAATTTTAGAAAAATCATCATTCATCATCATACTGCCAGTTTCCATTCGGTCAATATTCACTGCTCTCTGAATATTTTGTATTGCGCACATAATTTCACCAATAATTCCAGGTGAATTTTTTACTTTTAATTCTGACAACCAAACACCTGATGATGATGTTTCTTCAGGATTCTTTTGTTGTATAGTAATATGTTCAATAGTTTGTACTGTTTCAGTGATTTCTAACCATGGTGAATTTGAACTTGGTCGTTTATACCAAACAACTGATTGATGTAAATCCCCCAAATTCGCAGTGCAATCAAGAATGAGAGTTTTTCCAGGTTTATCAGAACTTTCAGGGGATTTGATCAAATTAATAACTGGGGGAAAGGAAATAAATAGGGAAAATATTGAAGACTACATCTTTTAGTAAAATATAGGTTAATGCATTTATAAATATCAGTTTCCTTTAGGTGCTGTAAAGACTTCAAAGACTGTATTGATAAAAAACATAGATATTCTACCCACTATTCGGGTAATTCCTAACGAATTAAATTCCAGAACATCATGTGAGTATATGATTCTAACAAATGATTTCAAGTTGAGAGATTTATATGCAGTAACATAAAAGCCTAGCTTCTGAAGATAATAAAGAATGTTTTACATAATGAGATCAGTTTATTGCTAGGGATGAGAAGTAATTTGAAGGGGGATAAGACTGATATATATTAACCTTAGTTCGAACGTTTATCAGGAAAACTGTTTACCACCGCTTTCGTCACAATAACTTAATTTATGTATGTATAATTCGAACAGAATTAATTTATTCTACTTGATCTGTACATCTGATGTATATGCTTTTCTGTCACACCAAGTAACTATCCCTCTTCAACTTAAATAGACAATATTGAAATACTAATAATTGTGTGCAAGTACCGGATACTTCGTACTGTTCAAAAATTCAATAGTCAATTAATGGAAATGAACAATAGTCAGTCAGTCAGCTGTAACGTAGGACCAGGCACATATATGCATCGGTCCACATTAGCACAACAAGATGAACACCGGATTCATAGGAGTAGTTAAGCTAATGGTGTTAATATATAAAAGAAAGATCGCATATAAGGATATAGTACAGGAAGAAAGAATCAGTTTGTAGAAAGAAAGATATGAAGCGATTTTAATCTCTTAGTTTAAAGGAATACAGAGAGTGTATACACCTATGCCATTGTGATCGATTCTGAGCCATGTCACCCAAAATCTCCAACCATTGGTTACGATAGTCACGCGGACCCCAACCAAGTAGTCTGCATCTACCAACAGGGCTTAGATCAGGAGTTTGTGACTTCAAGCACTGATGCCACGTTTTGGTTTAGCCGCCTCTAACTTTCTTCCAACCATCCCCAACACCGGTTAGCATTGAACGTCGTGGTAATCGGTGTTTAGGCATACGCAACACGTAGCCCAAGCATCTCAGTCGACGAAGATTCACACCCTCATCAACTGATTTACCGTAATTCCCTAATAACCTGCGTCTAACTTCACTATTACTTTCCCGGTGATCTCAGCAGATGCAAGCAATATTTCTAAGGCATCTGTGGTCAAATACTAGTAGCTTACGAGTATCTTCGACTCTAATTGGCCATGTTTCACAGCCATATAGTAGAACGGAACAAACTGCCGCGCAGTATACTCGTCGTTTTATTGATAGACGGATATATCGCCTTCGCCATAGGTGACGTTGGCGAAAGCCGAACGCGCTTTTCGAATCCGTGCTGAGATTTCGTCAGACATCAACCCATTAAGGCTGATCAAACTTCCAAAATAAGTGAAGTCAACGCGTTGGACTACTTCACTCCCTATCCTTAGTTGAGGTGTTGACGCAGACCAGTCCTGAAGCAACAACAGTAATCTATTAAAGTTGGTACATGCTACTTCTGAACTGTAAACACCATATAACACTAATGATAGGACGTTTAGACTTATGCTGGAAGAGAGTTTTGTGTTTTTCTTCATGCATCAAAACGCAAACAAAAGGATTTACAGAGATTCCAATCGTACCGAATGCATCTTAAAGATAAGCTTCTCTGATGAATGCCTAGTTTAGACGGAAACTTAGATCTAATGATTGCTGTCGATTATTTATAATCACTAAGATCAGTGGAACAGTTGAAAGATAAATGATATGAAACAAAGTACAATATTATGCTAGACAGGAATGTATTATACTCAGTAGAACACAGATCTTTTAAAATCGACAAATATACATAGGATATGACCACATTTTCGTCGTTGCTTCCAGAATCTGTAAAATTAAACCTTAATCTTGTTGTGATTAGCCATTGGTCGTATATAGATAGATATTTGTCTGACTAACTATTCAATATGTTATTTCCTTTTCTGTCATTGATTTCTACTTGAGACTTACTGAGTGTAAACGGCTTGTAATGGTGTTGAATGAAGTATTGTCTAGTCTGCATTATTTGATTCTCTATTATTGGTCCTCAATCCTGCATCTGGTATGAAGTGATCCAGTCTGTGTATAACACATCGATTGAGTATCTTATTTAAACATAGCATAATTTCGGTGGTCAGTCGTATGGTAGTAGTATATCATGGAAAATAGAAATATTTTAATCCACCCATTATATCAGTTTATCAATTTCAAGCATCTCAGAGAGTAATTATTGATAGATTTTTTCTTAGTCCTCACTTTGTTTTAAAATACATTGCAAAATGATCAATAAAATTTGATCTGCACCAAAGGGAAGGACTACACGAACATGTCATTGGTCACTACTCAGTGGTCAATCATTCTTTTAATCACTCAATAAAAAAAAGAGAAACATACCTTCTTTCATTTTCAAGTTAAATGTTTGTTTATTGTTTGATGGTGAATGCAAACATGTATATTTGCCAACTTTATTCAAATTAACTTTTGGTATAATTAATTTAATTGACAATTTTACATCGTCATTTTCATCTTTTATAGAGTATGGTTGATCATCATTATCATTGTCTGATTTCATTTCATTCATGATTTCAATTTTCTCACCAGATGGTAACATCCAATCTAATTGTCCAGGACTAGCTGTACGACATGTGATTATAATTTTCTCACCGAAGTGAACAATTTTCGAATTAATATCAATTTCCAAATCTATCGGACGCATGAAATTAATAGAGAACAATAATTATATAGAAATGTTGATGATAAATATTTGGAAATTATGATTAATTAAGGTACAGAAGCATAAAAATCAGTTTACCGATATTTTGAATTAAATAAATTTTGATTAGATCTGGCATTTAGGAGTTTAATTCACAGACAGTAATCGATAGAAATTGCTTTCAGTGAAGATATCAATGAAAACCGGGCAGCATTGGGAAGCTACTTCATCCTAGCAGTACGTACCCACGGTTTCGCAAAAGAATGGATCCAAAACGTTTAGGTCTTGATACGAGCGCCGAAGCTTCAAGCCATTTTCAGTTTTTAAATCATGAACTGATCTTAGTTATATCACTTTTGAAAGCCCGGAAGTACTGGACAGTTGTGTTATCCTAGTACGGAACTACTCAACAAAGCTTGTCTACGACTCCGCAGCCAGGAACAGTATACAAGGCCTTCGATCTCACACGAGAACGTTTAACCTCTAAACACTGTGCCGGGATTCAAAGGTGGTAATGTCTAACTCCAATCATTTCATGATTTCATGCGAAGGTAATCGATTGTCTGAGGTAGATAACTGTCCCTTACTCAACATGGTTGGACTGGTTACAGCTTCTAAATAAAGAACTCCAGGAATTGTATCTAAAAGCTAATCACTAGTGTGGACATGATTATTATCACTATAGGGTTGTGGAAATAATAGAGTTTGAAGACATTTGATTATGTCAATTCAGATAGCATGAATTATAGTCACCCCTTATTGCCCCTTACAGTCTTAGTTCAACATTAATTGTAAACTGGTCATTTTTTTATATGATCCATTCGTTTCACTATTTTCTTTTCTAATGTCTCTCAACATACTGATATGGGATGTAGCGACCTGAAATGATACACACACACACTTTCGTTTTAGTTCATAAGTTGGGTTAAAACTGATTGAATATGGAGTTAAACTAATACGAATAATTGTAGTCATTCATTAAAAAAAAACTTAAAATGTAACACATACCACTAACAGTCACAGTGACCTTATGCAATGTTGTTGGTTTATTCATTAGCTCTGATATTGATGGTCTTATGAAACAAGCATAAACACCACCATGTTGTTTATTGACAGGATCAAATATTAACGATTCCATTGCATACCATAATGGTCCAGATTGTGCTTCTAGTGTTTTTAATGAACGACTACCATCTGGCAAACGACCACCATCAAATAATTTCCATTCTAAATTTTTTTGTGAGGTATCATTTGGTCCAACTGATCCAGTACAGTTGATAACTACACGTTCACCTGGTGATATAAACACTTCTTCAGTTTGTACATGTACCTCTACAATAACATGAAGAGAAAAAAGAGAAGTTATATTCAGAGGAAGTGTGATGATTGTATAAACTTTGATGGTGTTTTGTTCTAAGATCTGGATATTTCCATTATGGGGTTTGCGCTTGTCATTCTAGACAGTATCATTATGAAGAAGTAAGCTTTTCAGTTATTTTATTTCTATATGAAGTAGGCGATGATGACGTTGACCAAAATGTTTGATGAAAGCTTCACAATTAAACTATCAAGCTCAAATAAAATACCACCATCGAAATCGTCCACCTTATCTGTAAATCTCTATCGTTCGTATTAATTAATGAATGCTTTGCACATTATTGCTAATTTATTTCATAGATTTGATCCCACCCATGCATATGTTCACGGTGATTTTTCCTTTCTCCACAGCTAAGATAGAACAAAATGCATATCCTATTTTTCTAAACAGAGATCTATTCCATGGATTAGTAGATCTAGCATATTCTGACATACATATAATGTGATGATTTAAGTAACCTCGTTGAAGAGTGAATATCCAAACGTTGCAGAAATTATGTAGTTTCTTGGAGCCGAATGTTATAACATTGTGACATGTACTACAGTTTTTTATAATGATTAATTTGGGTGATCCATCAATAAATCACAAATACTCAATTTAGCTACTCAGTTGTATGATTTGACCTATCGAAGTCAGTAACGAGTTACTATTTAATAGAAATAACTTAACTAGTTTAGAATGTACAAATTTATGTTATTGCCTTTGAGATTAAATCCATCTAAGCGATGTCAAGTGATTTCAGACTGTTGCTAGGTGAGGACTTGAAATTTTACGGCTAAAATTACAATATTCTCAATTGACGAGAACAACTTACAGATTCATAAAACATACGAGAACACTAACTACGAGTCATCACTTGTTCAGACCTGTTTTGATTGATCACATATTATTTTTGTTGTTCCTTTGTACTATTTAAACTTGGATTAGTTTTAATTTGGTTATTTATTCTCTGAAGAAGTGACTTACACTAAGTCATGAAACGCCAGAAAATCTGATTTTTCTACTCATTGGGATATTACAAATATATTATTTATAACAATCTACCCAATGCTCAATTTATTCGAAATTATCAAATAAAATCTTGGTAATGATACCTAGTAACTACGAACATTTGTTTAAACAAATTCTTATTCAACCCCATGTATTTACGTCCCAGTATGATGAGTGCAGAGGAAAAAACAACTCATGCCTTCTATTTCTCTCAAACTTCAGATAATATCAAAGCATTCATTTGAGGGTCTCATAAACTAATAGTTCAATTCTGAATGTCTAAAACGAGACACTACAAAATCTTACAGATAATAATTTAGTTTATTACGTCATGCTTTTGCATGACACTCGAGGTCAGAAGTTTTTGACAATTAGTTACCCATCAAGTCATCACTGTTAAATTGTATTTATCAAAGGTGGTAGAATTCAAATTTTACAAACATAATGAGACGGCTGACCTAGTAGATTTGATATTACTATATATATATATATATATATATATATATATATATATATATATATATATATATGAAAAAATGTTAATTGCTCATTTACATCAACCTACCATCTTCTATCCATAAACGGACAGGTTCTGAAATTTTATCTCTGAAATCTTCTGTGTAAATAACTTCCGCCTGTTGTTTGGGCGTAAATTTAAAACAAACGACATATGAAATAAAAAATAATTAATAACATAATGACATGTGACGTTCAATTACAAATCAGGTATGAGAAAAACATTTACCAATTGCTTAGAGACGATCATTAGAATTTTATGGAGGGATAGTTTACTAGTTGAAGTGTTTAACATTTTTAAGTCCTTCATCACTTACTTCGAATCAGCCAGTTGATGTAGGAGTGCCACTAACAATCAAAAAGAAGGAAGTAGCTCGAAGGCGAGTACACAAATGTATACTTGATAAAAAAGAGTAAAAATATAGCCGAGATTTAATCGCTTCTGATAAAAGATGAAATGAAAACGTTCATCGAATTTCTAAAACTTATTTTAAAAAAAAGGAAATTAAAAGACTCAAACAATATGAGGAACTTCAAATGTTAGAATATTTATTGATTAACAATCTTCTCTAATGATTAGTTCAATCATATTTTTGAATATCATGATAATAAGTGTGCGAAAAAGTGTTATGCTTCATGTGACGTATGAACTACACAACATTTTACAGTGATGTAACATGATAATCTGAAATATTAAAGGGGACTAAAACAACATTTATCACCAACTATTCATGACCTTGTTCAGTGGCTGAGAAATTTTAATATACTACTTCTAGCGTCAACATTTACATGTGTGGACATTCACTTCCTTTTTTCAAGTTTTTGAGCATACAAATAAACAGTATGTATCGCCAGTGCATTATTGATCAAGTTTGTACCGTAAGCATTCTAGTTCGAAATCTACTTTGCAATAGCTTATTTTCAAATATTTTGTGAAATAATTTTTACTATTATTAAATATTTCAGTAAGTTAAGTTGAAATGATGATGTTTGATGCGTCTGACTTCTATTCCCAGTAAATCTATGAATAAAGTATTGGAAAGAATATATAGTCGTTTAAATGAATCACACTTTTATCGGTTAGCATTTGCAACTTTCAAAATGTATTCAGTAGAAGGAATAGATATATTGTGAAAACAGTATGAAGTTTAATAAATTATGGAAAGAGACGATCAAAAGCAGCTTTGGAGTTTGACATTTTCAAAGTGACTTTGAAACAAAAAGTTCGAATGAATGAATCAGAAATGAAGATTATATGCACTTAAATATTCTTATGTTCAAAGGGAAAATATTTTTAACTCAAATATAAATGATGAATGATAACGTCTCGAATGAACTTTTGTCAAAATTTATAGCTAAATGTATTAAACAGTTTATAGATTGGTTATTAGGAAAAACTGGAATGTTGATTGAATTACAAATGGTCTAACCGAAATAAAGAAAGGGACGTAATTTTTTATGTTAGGTGGCTGGACGTATTGCATAGGTAGGGTTGTTTGATCTACATTTAGTACCAGTTGACACTCATCGTCAGTAAGGTGTACCTTAATGCCAAGGGAACTGATGTTCCTTCCTCGATTCAAGAAGTGTTCACTAGTGGTCATATAGTAACTTTATCAGAAGAATTTTATTACCACTAAGAAAAATAGACTAGCATGACACTAATCAACGCTCAGTGAGCTGTAGATTTTAATATTGGCAATGACAGTTTTTGTGCAAGTATGGTATAATCTGAATTTCTCAGTGTTACATACTGAGATGTTCAGTTCATTTTATGAATTTTATTGAAGGTCACCAAATAACTAGGGGAAAAATATATTTAAACAGTGAAAAGTTTTTTGATGAATTTATTTTTAAAAGATCCAAAATTGTATTTCTATTAAATAATCAGTGCCATGAGTAAGTTCATTTATTTGTTAAAATGTATGTGTATAATCAATGAGAGTCGTGAAATGCTGTTTATACTTATGGGGGGAATTAGTTTAACTTAACAAATGAATCATCAGACTGACTTGAAATTATATGACGAATAAGAGAATATTCAAAGATCAAATCACAAGCTAATCTTATCTATACAACATTTGTAAGCCTGGAAACACTGAAAGGCTGTTTCGTTCTAGCACTGGCACTTTTCAGAAGTGCACATCCAAAACCCCACATCCAGGAATCGAATCTAAGACCTTTGGCCTGGGCAAGCGAACACTTAACCACTAGACCACTGAGCCGGCATTCAACGGTGTTAATGTCCAACTTCAATCAATTTGTAACTTCAATATTTCTGGCGCTTCACTTGAAATCCATGAGTTGGATCTTGAAGCTAGTCAGAAACACAACTATAGGTGGTTAGATAAATGTTGCTGTGAATGATTTAAGGTGATAATATGCAATAATAACAACTTAGTCAGTGAAATTAGCGAATCTTTCTAAGAAATATTCGATTGTAATCAACCAAAACAGATGAGATTACATTTATCTTAAAGATAAAAAACGGCAAAGAATAATTATGAAATCAAATGTAAAGGAAATTAAGGGCCTTGACAAATAAAGCGACCTTACATATTGTTGTGTTTGTACAAGTAGGTTTGATCCTATAATTGATCATGAATGTTATGTCTAATACAGAAAGTGCGAACGGTCAACTATAAGTTGCAGGAGAAAAGACGAATAACAATACATCAAATTATGTTTTACCATGAAAAATCACACCTTTAAGTTCATTATTCTGGTTTACTTCATAAATTGACTTTTTATCATTTTCATCATATAATGACCTCATTAAACAATCAATGGAAACAAAGAAGCAGTGGATACTTATTTCTTTCTAGTATAGGACTGCTAAATAGTGAGTATACACGGAACCAATGAAAATTAAACCCAAGAACTGCAAGTTCTTTAGATCACTGGATCCATATCATCAAAAGGTTTACCCATCTAACTTCAGTCAATTTGCAATATTGTACGATCATCTTCCAATGAGATTGGTGTGCAACTGTTTCACACTCGACATAATTAAGCTTCACTGTTCACCGCTACTTGAAACTAGCCACTAGTCAACATACGATTATTATTACTATGGGGAGATTTCGGGGTTTACAGAATACCATAGTTTATATAACAGAGTGATCTTAGTTTGATAATCAATTGATTTTTGTACTAAGAAATCAAGGTGATCCGGATTCGACTTGAGCGTCAGTTGCCTTAAGAGTTCATGTATATCTTGCTGACTAGTGCAGACTGGCATGAAACTTAGCTTCAGGGTTGCCAAATATATATATATATATATATATATATATATATATATATATATATATATATATATAGTCATCAATCTTCGCCCATGTCTGAAAAAAGTAGAGTTGTTTTAGTCTGAAAAGACATTAAGAGATGTGAAAAAATAATCATTTCATTCGGAAAATATAGAAGGAACAAATACAAGTTCGCAAATGTCGACGAAGTCAATACATTTAACGAATATAACGAAATGTTTTTTAACACGCATATACACATTAATCACTCGATAGTCGTATCCGAGTTTCTTTAGTGTTAAAAAAGAGAACATTCACTATGTTTTTTTCTTTTTTCCTTTTTAATTAGCATGATTTATATGTTAACGGCTGAAATGTCTTTAACATTTTACTTTAAAATACACTTATTTCCTGAGTATTTTGGTATTTGGTTATCAGTAGAACTTACGAGGCGCGTTTTATCCTACTTGTGATTTGTCAGCTGGATGGACTTATATCCTTCAGTGTTAACTTTCACACTGAGATTCTGACCTAGCTACTGAGTCTATATATCCATTAACTTATTCAACAGAGTGTGAAGATAGTCGTAATCATGTGTAATTGGACTGTGAATTATTCAGTCTTTGTGAAATAATACTATATCGAGATAATCACTTCACTAACTGATATAAATGTCATTACTATCTATAACTATTAGCTATAAGTAAAGAGATGGATGGTTGCTAGAAGTAGGATTCAGGATGTGCGTTCCGTCAGCTGAACGTACCTAAATGCATTAACTATAGATAGTATATAATAGAAGTGAGCAAACTGCGGAACACAAAAACTTAATATTGTTATACAACACATACTCACTTGAAGTTCATAACGTCGGCCAGGTAGTAAATTTTCAATTTTATACAATTTCACTTGATTATTTTTATCATTTAGTGTTTCAGTTGTTTTCATTGTAATTGGTACATAATTCACCTGTTTTATATAATCCGGATATTCATCCACTTCACCAATTACTTTTAATGTAAACTGAGTATTCAGTGTTTCTAAATTCAGACAACTTGGCATTTGACTTGGTTTAACTTGTACTTGTAATGAATAATACCGACCGGATGTAGGCGCTTTAAGATCAGTTTGACCTTGAGTGGAGTAAAATAAAGCAAATTATGGCAGGAATATACATGAATACTCTAGTTCACTTAGTATTTGATATATTAGTCAAATATTAAATGATAAACAATTTATCATAGCGTACAAATGTGCATCATTTCAATTCCCCACACTTTGCATCAGTGCAAATAGGACGAGTCATTTTGACAAAAGTGATTGCTCTGTATTATCTTGAATATTCAGTAGATATTTATTATCTGAAATAGTTGTTCCTTGATCTTCTGTCATGCCAAACTGATTCTGTCAGAGTAGTAAAACCGGAAGTTTAAAGCTTACAGTAAGAGCAACTTGGAGGTTTAGACCGTAAAGAGAGATGAAGGCAGAATGTATCTTAGACAATCAACACGTCCAAGTTTACTACCTTCCCAAGGACAATATGGTTTAAAATAGTTCGGGTGTAGTGAACAGAAACACCGAAGAGGACAATCGAGTGTATGTGACAACAAATTACAGAACTAGTTAGTAAAATCTAACAACCATATATTAAATGCTCAATTTGCAAAATGTCCATCAATTGTCTCAAATGACTCAGACTTCCTTTTTTCTTGCATTTTCATACAAATTGCATACTGTCTTCATTCTTTAGTGTTCGGTCTTCTTGTCTCTCTGCTGCCAGACATTCTGTTCACGATAAACATCATATACTACTTATGTCTACATAAGTAGCACACACCACACGGGTATAAAAATTGTACAGCCTCCTCGCCTTGTGGATTTATTGTAGCAGAAGAAAAATTCAATAAGTGCAAAGCTAACTAAGAAAATACTCTAGAAAAGTTGAGTGAAATCAACCTAGAACAATTACTCATTAAATACTATCCAAGGTTAAAAAGACAATCAATACTGTTTTCATGTCCGCCGATAAGAAGAAAACATATTTTGATAGTATGGCCGATTGGCAAGTGTATATTTCATGCACACCTGCATACTTCTAGCGGAATATCTTCCTTACTGTGTTGTTCAGTTTAGTTCATAAAACAAAAGTTAAATTCCACAAATCATATCACACTGAAGTTTTCATTGTGCGTTATAGACTCTTGGAAATGCTGAATGGATTAACTTGAAGAAGGATGTCACGAATCACACAACAAGAAATTTGTCACTGCATGGGCCTGAAACTAGCTATCAGCGCCAAAGGCAGACACATTATGGATACGGATCAGAAGATCTTAGTACAATTTTTTGTATAATATATAGACGGGAGAATGACGAGCTTACTTAGGGGCAGTAATTAGTCGTCATGTTTATTTTAATTTGAGTGTGATAAAATAATTTTTTATTTCATCTAACTCTTTGATATTGATCCATTCACTATTATTCTTTGGCCCTAATTAAAGAAAATTGTTTGAAAAATTTGGAGGGTCTTTTGATTTGTTTGTATGATCTATAAAAACTTTTCATTATTCCTCCAAAGTTTTATGCGATCACACAATAACACCTTTCAATGTTCTTTACGACCAAACTTATGTTTCTAAATTATAGCTATTGTTATAACTGGTTATATTATATTAGAACTATTTAATAAAATGCATGACCCACTTTCTTTACCAATTAAGACGTCCAAATAATTGTATTTTCTCATATCGTCTTTTACTACAGTTATTACGAATATTATCATCCTCACTGTTACGATTACGTCCTTATTATTATGTAGTGTCAACTTCCAATTTAATTCTATTCACCTACTTTAAGCCATGATCAGTAAAGCTTAATCGTATCTGATATAAAGAAGGTATCCAACAAAGACGGTGAAAGGTAACCATACAATATCGTGCATTGATTTACATTAAGAATGTACACCGTTAGATTCTGGCTAAGGTGTCTAGACATTAAGCGTTATCGTGTGATATCGAGAGTTTTGTGCTTGATTCCTGGTTGCGAGATCATGGAAGAACACCGTTCAGTAGTCCCATACTAGGACGAAATAGAAGTCCAGTGCTTCCGAGTTTCTAACGGCTATCTGACTTAGATCGGTTTGTGATCCCCTTTCATATTTATAGATTGAAGCTGTGTAAATATTGTTGTGCTTGATCAATTGGATATATTGATTCGAGGACATATAATACATGAGAGGTGCTGATGTGTGCACGTCTTAGGTCAAGATTTTAGGGAGATGTGCACTATTAGTTGGAAATCTAGGTTGTTCTGCTGAGGGACACTTGGTCAAATTAATGTCATAAGGTTGCACATATATTTGATCCAGTTAACCAATACAAGGTGTTTCCTAATCCTGGTTTTCCAACTCGTGTAGTCGGTTAAGTATGCATATAGGGAAGATATAAATCAGTGACACTCGAACAATCGCCCAATAAGACAAACATACATCATATAATTATTCAAATATGTTTTAAGTAATGAACAAAGCGTTATTTATACATGTTACATGCAAAATTACGTTTGTATAATATTTTATTTATTTATACAAATCAATGAATATGTGAACGATTTAGCAGAAGAACATGGATTGGAAAGAAGTCACTTTATCCTACCATGTTTATTGTTATTGTTGTAGAGAAGTTTATCAACGGGAACTAATTTCATTAAATATGACACTATACGTTACTATAAGCATCATAAATAATAATAATAATAATAATAATAATAATAATAATATTAATAATAATAATAGTAATACAACTGACCCATTCGACCTATTGAAAACCTAATGTCAGATGAAGTTCCCATTGTGATGGATTTTCCGTCTATGCCCTTAAATACCGGTGTTACTTTAAAAGTATAATCAATAGCCAATCCATTTTTTGTGATAGTTGGATCAGGTATATTTTTTAAATTAACTCTGTAAATTGTTCCATTATCTGAAATAGTAGGGTAGAAATTGAAGAAAAACATACCATAAAGACAATCATGATATTTTATTTAGTGATTAATTTTGCATAGGACAGCTTATTTAACGTAAAAATGAGCAACGGAAAGATTAGACATAAGATATTGAGCAAAGATGGTAAATCAGTTGACGAGTTAGGAATTTTTATCAACTGAAGGGATCAAGACATATGATATGTATAACTTACGACGGTCCGTCTCGACGCCTAATGTTAACTGATGTAGAAATAGAGTGTAATAAAGCTAGGGGATGACCAAACCAAAACCCAGAGTCAGTCTCTGAAGTCGTCGATTGCTGGTCTAAGCCACGTAGACACCTAGAAACTATCTGGTTGAGTTTAACTCGACAATCGTGATCAGTAGTTGGAGACATGGATTGGAATGGATCAGAATTCGGTCAAAGCGGTGCATCTGCATTTATTTTTTCGCTTTCCTCCAAATATTGTATAAATATTTAGATTCTATCTGCTCGAACCATATTCTTACTGTCTAGTTTTCTTAGTATCATTTCTACTACAGTTACTTAGACTCCTTTGATATTAATATTATTAATTACATTATGCCGTGCCAATGTCGTACAAAACAATTTAAACTAATACACATTTGTGCCAGATTGCACTTTGATTATGGCTGACTAAATTACGTAACTTAGATATATGAAAAAATGTATTACTCTTTATGTTCTGCCTTGAAAACAGATTAAGTTAAATTTAAAAAAAAATCCGGTTCAAATTTTACCGAAAGCACAGATTAATCATTTAGCCAAAAGTAACGAAAAACCTGGCGCATATGTGCATCAATCGAAGTTGCCATACCACATCAATACGTTCAGATGAAATCACTAATACATATGTCATATTTGTAGCAGTAGTAACAGTAACAGTGGTTGTAAAAAGACATCAATGATAAGCAATACTACTAAACAAGAAAGAACACATTCGTGAAATGAAAAATATGCAATAACTTTGAGAAAATGAGGATCTAAATGAAAACAAAGGATGATTATTAATGATAATGATAACAAACAATTTGAGTTACAATCAAATATTACTGGGTGTTTGTTACTTAAATTCTTTTAAGCTCTGCAAATATTACAAAAAAAGTTCTTATCATGGGATTTGTTTAACTAACTAGCTAACTAATAAATAAATTAATTGACTAATATGAACTGATATATTTACTATCATTAAAACGTTATTCATACATCCGGTACCTAATCACTTCGTAATTGCCAGAACTCTTTCATTATTCAATCTTGAACAAAAACAAGAAGGCAAGAAATATGAGATGTGCTTTTCTCCAAAAGTTACTTCATGTAAAATATCAACGATATTAATAGGATTATGTGTAAACTTGATATTGTGTAAGCTTCTGAAAAACAAATTAAAATAGTCCAATCTGTCATTCCTCCGAATTCTCTTGAAAGGTGCTAAAGAACGTTGTCTGATCGATGTATTGTCAGCCAAAGTATCATAATATTTTATGTGAGACATTACACTGACTGGCATATATTTTTCATTCTCAATGTTTCAGTGAAATGTAATGCAATTCATTTTAAACTTATACAATCTGAAGTGTAATACAAATGCCTTACGAAGTTTTAATGATAGGACTGGTCAAATATCTTTGCAAATTAAGGTAAACAATAAATAAATAATTTTTAGAAAAGCTTTCTTTCCATTCGATTTGAAATACTTGCAACCAAACATGTTTAGTAGTTGTAATCATACACTGATATCTATTGGAGAACCATTAAAAATCAGGTCGCATAAGGTGGTAGTTTCGTCCTAGTCCTATGTACGAAATCTCGAAATTTTACATAAATAGGAAAGTAGAAATATCAGATCTTCTCTGACTGATATTCATTCATCCATTGAATGATGTACATTTTCATAATATCACATAATTGTTGTCTTATTGTTATGGATAATATCGAGACTATTTGAATATTACAGAATTCATTTGGTTGTAATACATTTGACAAGTTAGCAACTAATTTACTCGTAATAAATTGATTGCTTCTCTTAAATTTATTTTGATTATTCACTGTCGAACAATGCAATCTGACCAAAAAAATCCACCTTTCTATGCTACAAATCTTTACGATAATCCTGTGTGCATTGCTTGTATTAACAGATTACAACACAATAGAATTTTGAATACAATTTTAAAAAACGGTATACAATCCGTGATTACTATTATGTTATCATTGTTATTATTTTTATTTTTTTGAATTATTTCAATCTCTAGTTATTTCAAAGAAAGAAAATTTTTTTTAATGATACATCATTGTGAACTAATAACAAACAATAATTTGGGTGGATACCTTGGTTTCACTTTTCAATTCCATGTTTACACTTAAATATTGGACATTAAGTTAGTCTATTGCGTACCTTTACTTTCATAACAGTATTACCTTGGTAACCAATTGATAATATTAATTTAAGTGATAATAATAGTAATTATAGTAACTTCAACAATAGTAGACTATAAGACCTTGGTAATAATCGAGAAAAAAAGGGGGAGAATTGTAATCTATGAACAGTAAATAAATATCTGTTTATTACATACTTCATAAATCTTTATATTCTGGATAATGATTGACAATACTGTTTAGTGTTGTGCACTTTTTTTATTTTTTCTAAATAATATTAATTAGAATTATATTTTATGGGAATATCTTGTATCTGGAGTTTAATTCTGTAATAAATTAGATTTTAACTGTTTGGAAATTAATTACTCACAAGTACAGATATACATTAGTTCAAATTGTCATATTACATTAGCACAGAAAGATGAAACTGCCAGGCGAAATCCCATAATAATAGAAGTAGTAACAGTATCAGTGGTGATAGAAAAGTATAGATAGCAAAGATAAGGTCCAAGAAAATATAAATTAGTAAAATAAGAAAAATAATAATTATGAAGAATTCAGAAGCATCGAATCTGAGAGAAGACAATGAAACATCTTGAACTATATCATTCCGAGTCTCTAAACACTGGTTATGATTATCATGTGGACCTAAACCAAGTAGTCTACAGATGTTAGCATAACTCCCTTCAACTGTCATTAACTTCATGGACTGATGTCATTTTGTGGTTTGACAGTAACTAGCTTTCTTCTAACCTAATCCTACACCGGACAACATAGCCAATCGAGGTGGACTTTTAGAACCACCTCAGTTAATGAAAATTTACTACCTTATCAACTGAGTTACCATCTTTACTTAGTACATTATCCATAACCTAGGCGTTGCTCATTATGTGGTCCCAAAATATACCAGCGATGCTTCGAAGACACCTAAGAATATCTTTTATTCTCAATGTCCATGTTTTACATGCGTAACATACATGACGCCAACCAGGTGATCTGAAAATAAATATTAACACACCATCTTTATCTATACTTTGCAATTTACATTCGTAAATCTCTAAAAATTTTCTCACAAAATCATATACTTACACAACTACAAACACATTTGCTTACGTTTCTACATTCAACTATGTGTCTTGTATTTTTATTCAATGTTGGTTTCACAAATTACACCAGTCTATGTGTTTTGAGTTACTTTTGAAATTCTCATGAGATCAAATTTTACACAAGATTATACACCTCTTGCTTTCCTGAGCAACCATAAGAAAACACATCGAGTGAGAAAAAGTGAATATTTCTTAAAACTTAGAGAAGTGCGCATATAAGCAAACAATATGTTTTTCATTTATATCTTTATCCAGTACACGTCAATAATGTGATGATAAATGTACTAGTAGTTATGTAATCCGTTTCATTATTATTAATAATTCATAAATTACCTTGATTGGTTCTATAGGTTTCATATGTACGCATGAATATATTATTATATATTAGTATAAAAGATGATAACTACTGGTCCCAGTCTTTTCACATTTCAACTTCGTTTTTGTTAAATAATAACTGTTGTGCAACGCCAACAATGCTATCAAATTGAACTGTAAATTTTCTCAGATTGTAGATCAAATAGCAGGTTTTTTAATGTTTATAAATATGAGGGAAGTTATGTCATAAAAAGCATTGATGAATTCACACTATCGATAGTGTTATGAATCATCAACTTGAAACTAAGATTTCACGATTATATACTGGTGGCGGAGTCGTAGGTTTTGTTTTGTTGCTAAGGTATCTTGAATTGAGGGACGATATATCTAACAAACAATGATTCTTATTTTTTTAAAGGGTTCATCGGTTAATATCAGTCAGTAATGAAAGAATCAGCTTTAAAATAAATATTCATTATTAGTTTGAATTTAAATTATCTCGTTGTTAAAAATTTCGATTGAATTTTGATCAGTCTTTATTCGCAGAAAAAATCACGTTGTCTCAATGCCATTTCTAACCAAAAATTCATCTTTTCTATACAGACTTAAGAATAATAGTTATATCAAGGCAATCCACACAAGATGAATACATATTCCGACAAAGACTGATCAAAATTCAGTCAAGATTATCAAAAAGTATGCTTCAATTTTCTAACTTGAAAATCAATCATTTATAGCTGACAAAAGTTCTCCTACTGATTTATTATGAGGCATTAATATTGTATTGACGTAAATGTACGTGTTTTTTATCCTTTAACCAATTATATGTTTGCCAACAAAAAAAAACATAACTTACCAATTTCTTGTTGTGTAATTGGTAAATTAAATTCACTGGCCTGTTCACATGCTTTTGGTAGACCAGACAATTTAGTTTCATAATGGTGAAGGAGATTATTGAAAATTATTGGCAGCCCAAACCATTGCATTAATTGATTTTCTGTATCAATTGTAATATCAGTAGAAATGTAAACTGAAGAAATAGAAAAAAAAGATCAGTAGAATTCGACCACTAAATTAAGATAGGTAGACAAACTTGAAATCGGATGTTATTTGATGAGTAATTATTGTAAACAACTCAGTCCTATAAGAAGATCAGTCGTTGTCTGAATAAAGCTCAGTATTAACGCTTCAGAATGTGACAATCGATGCTAGCGATTAAAATTTGAGGGATAGAGTAAGTTTTTCCACTTTGCTAACGAGTGTCAGCTAGTAAAGAAACCTATTTTCAAGTGTTTATTTGATTGTTTTCAATCTCACCTCATATCCAGAAAAAAATGTGAACTTCCGTCCAGTGTGATAATTATATTCTTTATTCTGTGTGAATTTCATGTGTCTTTATTGGTAACTCTGAGTATCTTTTCATTTATAAGATGTTTACTAACTAATTATCAAGTGTATAAAATACATTATGTCAATAAGTGTGATTAGTTTAACGAGAATGTGATTTTGGACTTGTTTTGGGTTTGTGTTTTGAGTTGTCAATTCACCTTCATCATATCAGTCCCATATATTCTTACTTAACAGTGGTTCCCATTTTCCGTGTATAAACAGTAGGGCCGCAGATATTATAGCTTCATGCTGGCAAGCGTTCGTAAGTAAGGGGTTTTTGTAGTCAATTGAATAACTAACGCTTTCTATGAAGTCTCAGGTACTAGCTACGACATTAATTCAAAAACTTCGTAATGGTCTTTAATTTGATGCGAATGGCACAATTTAGTGCTATAACTTGAATAAAATTATTCAATGACTAATATAATTCATCGTTTGTCAGTCAGCTAGTCCGAAACTAGAACGAGAATGTTTTCTAAATAGTGTATGGGATTTCAGGTACAATTCAATAAAAAATAATCAATTTCCGATAAACACTTCTATTTGAAAAATCGATGGTGAGTAATCTAAGGCTCATCGTTGGTACAAACTATTTTTTATGCCTCGGATAAAACTGATTATGTCTACTGGGGTTTCCGGTTGGTCTACCATACTCAGGAATTAAGGAAGGATTGAATTATGTCAATATGAATGGATCTATTGCGGACTCGATAAAGTCAACTGACATACAGCACTTCAATAATTAACTGAAAACATAGGAAGAACGAGAAGTATCGGAATAAATTGAGATGGTACAACTCCATATATGTAGTAACAAAAGTATGACCAACTTTCCAGTATACAGAAAATTAGTGAACCAAAAATAGAAAATTCGAAAAGGGGAATGATCATACATATAATCAAATTAGTTAAAAAAGACCTTTGTAGTCACGTCACAAAATAGTAAGACTTTGACATTATTAACAAAGACTGAGAAATCCCGTGATTTCTTTAACACTGTTTCATAAAGATATGATTACTATCTACAATAATTATGGTGATCTAATAATTTCATATACTAACAATAAGAATATATTCCGTTTGATTGTATAAATGATTGTGAATGTTGAATGTATGGCCCTGATCATTTCTATTCCGCATCTGTAAAGGTAAGAACATGGGTTGTTTGTCGAGGAACATTTCTCGACGCACAAGAGAGTCCCAGCTAGTATCGCTCATTAAAATTCAACGCAACAAAGCAAGGCTAACCAAAATATGTTTTCGTGGAGATAATTGAGTGTAATCGACATCGCAAATCAAGCTAGGCTATACATCCAGATAAAATCAGGAAGGATTGGAGAGCTATTTCGTTTCAGTAGGAGACTCCTCAACTCAGGATCTCCGGCCTCGCTGGTACGTCTGAGGAGTCTTATACTAAGACGAAACAACCATTCAACCCTGATTCGTAACGTCAATAAAATGAGAAGAAATTGTGTTTTTTGAACATTATGTATACGTTAACATTCCAAATGCTCTACTTTGACGTATCATGTTGCATATCCAATTTCGATTTTTCTTCTTTTCTAATATCTGGGTATATTGAAGTGTTTTACAGAGAAACACGGTAATACTCACAACTACAGCTAGTCCGTTTCCCTTTTGTGTGCATATTTGAATGCATGTGAAGATATATTATATATTATATTATTATTCACCATTTTCAAGAATGTTCAGGGTACTTAAAAAGCAAAAGTGTACCACTCTTCAAAAATCTACGACATATATTCAATATCAGATTAATAGAAAAGGATAGAGAACTTTAGAAAAGCATTTGATGAAAAGAAGAAAAATGAAAACACAAGTTCTAGTTTACGTCATACCAATCAAAAAATGAAAGGAATCACAATGAAGACAAAGAACTTGGTGAATAAACACTAAGCGAATATAGATAAGCAATATCCCAATACCAAAATAGTACATTTTCATTGTAAACATGATTCAAATAAGTGAGTATGTGTTTATCGATGTGTCTATTAGGTTAATTTGACTATTATTGGTTCACTAATCCGTCACAATAAATGCAGATGGATGCCAAAAGAAGGGATGAAAAGTTACTTTTAATTGTAGTCGGAACCGAACCATGTCACTTGACATTCACAATCGCTGATTACAGTTATCACGTTAACCTCGACCAGTTAATCTCCATCCACTAAAATGGTTCTGACCAACAGTCAGTGACATCATGGACTGATGTCATATTTTTGTTTGACCACCTATAGATTTATAATGAATCACTCCTATACCAGTTAACATCCTTCGTCAATGCAGATGAATGTTAGGCATCCATAATACGCATTCAAACCACTACAATCGATGGACATTCACAATCTTATCAACTCATTTGATATCTTTGCGTATTATCCTATGATTAAATAAAGGATTACACATTCGATTGCACCATTATCGACAAGCGGTGCTTTGAAGACACCCATGATCAAAAACCTGGGGTGTATGTATGACTTCCACTTTCACAGACGACGTTTCATAGTCATAAAGTAATACAGAAAAGAATGTTGTATCGTGTATTCGACGATGGCGAACGGACATTTTGTTTAGGCAATATGTAACGCGAATTGAAAAAACTCAATCTTGCTTTCTGAATCTGTGGCACTGGCGTAATATTCTTTTTTATATGTGGTATTTTTTACGGATCGATGCTGTTTTGGGATGTCTTTAAAATCCATGAAACATGTGACAATGATTTTGTCTTAGCTCTAACCTCTTCAATTACGACTGAGTACTGTTAGGAATTGAGGCCAGAACGTCCAGGTCTCATGATAAGTTCGGTATTTTCAATTCGTTGGGTTAAAATTCTACAATTCAGATATCTAGTAGTTGTAATTACTGTCTTAATTTGGTCGTGATTAAATATCATCATCATACGGAATTCTTTTCCCATTATTAACTTGGCTGACTTCATTTCTTTCACCGCTGAATGGTTAGCATAGTAGGTTTCAACATAACAACTACTCCTTTCTCGTCGGTTCATAAATTTTGTAGGATATATATTCTGCATCAACATTTTTCATCTAATAGTTTTTCTTCATCTTCATTAGTGACATTTATGCAAATATGGCCTATTTCTATTAAATAAAACCTTTACAAAATGTGGTTTGAAATGGACTGGACAATAGTCATAATAACTTCGATATTACTCTGTCCTTGTGGGCTTTCTATAGGTAAAGCGTTTGATTAAACTATTTTCTATCTTCGAGTCAAAAGTATATCTAGGAAAAAGAGTTGATTATTTTTCTCACCTTCACACGAAAGACGAATTTGATTTTAAAGAGTACTAGGTTACATTTAAAGAAAACTAATTGCATCTTCCAGTTTTAATATAAAACTGCGATATCGCTCAAGGCATATCACCCATGAAAACATAATTAATTAAATCTTTTAGTAATTTTAAGCATGTGACATGTAAATGTTAGTCAGTGGTGTTCCTAAAATACTAACCATAGTGAACCAACAATTTATCAAAAAATAATCACCATAAATTGTGATTTCAACTTTTTCGGTTTATTTTAGTGATGGTGATAATGATAGTGAATTTGCAGGTTGTATTCATTACAGATTGGTCTCAGTTGAGACACCATTGAAAGTCGGAGAGGGGGACTGGATTGTTTTTTTCATCTTAATATGGAACTCCTCAGGAGTCGAAATTCACATCTAGGCCATGAACCGAACGTGGGAACTTCCAGTTTTGTACTAAACGCTATTCACTACTACCTAGTCATTAATGATATCTTAATTAAGACGAATTTGTGATGAATACAACCTATAAATTAAATCAATCATTGCTAAACTCCTACAATTAGAACAACAATAAATGTTTCAGAAATTTTAAGCGAATACGACAAAGATTTTTCCCCAGATAATTAATAATTCACTAATCCATTAATTAATCAATATTTAAAATAATCAAGTGCTCAAGGTGAATGATGAATCGTTCCGAGAATACTCAAATTAATATATTACGCTCATATAAATATCATATAATTCTAACAAATTCATTGTACAAGTTAGTGTATTTCTAGATTCAGAAGCTCAATGAATTAAACGTTGATGTTTGAAGAGGAAAATGTTGGATTCAAATTTCAGTCTGAGCATCAAAATCAGGATGCAAGAATACCCAGTTTATGAGCCAGAAACAGTACGAGATGAAAGTCCTGGATTCCAATGATAGCCGCTATCTAAGTTGGGTCAAATAAAGCTCGTCTTCTTGTGGCATTATGTCAATCCAAAGTAAAATTAATGGTTATAAATTGCCGCTTAACTAAGAAGATTAAATTTTCATGTCGTTTAGTGGAATCAGTCAGAAAACCATTGGTAGGTAATACAAGACTTAAGTAATTAAACATATTATAACTTAGCCCAATTATAAGTTTCCTTTATATCACAAGAATAAAATATCTGAAATACTGCATAAGTGGTATAAACATTACTGTGAATAAAAAAATTTCTTTATGGTGGTTGTCAACATACTGTCAGTTAATCCCTTACCCTCCCCTCTTTGCCATACAAAATAAACAAGGATATATGGATACACATACACGTAAACGATATCTAATCAGGTTTTAAATGTTCACTTTATATACAATAAACATGCGATAGGAACAACGGGAACAATAGGATCTACAGAGAAAGTTAAAAATAGACAAAACTAAATGAAAGCCATTACACTATTCTCGATAGTTGGGTTTTAAAAGAATAGAATATATATATATATATATATATATATATATATATATATATATATATATATATAGATCACCCCCCCTTTTTTTCTAATGATATATTGTTCGGCGTTGTTGCTTTTATAAACAAATGAGTACAAAACAAACAATACCTGATGAGCAGATTAATGAATTCTTTTGTTGATCACCATTTATTTATTCAACTCTTATCATAAACCGTAGTATTTCATTCATACTGTCTAGAAGTTATCCAGTGACTGAATCATATTTATACATTTACCCAGGCTCTAAAATATAAACTTGTAAATTGCTGGCTGGAATTAGTCGACAAAATACCCTAGACCTATGTTTCATGCAATTTGGACCTCGTCAGAAAGGTTTACCCTACGGATTCAAGCTCGTGTTACCCAGCTCCATAAATGGAGATGTTACGACTGAGCTATCCTGGATGTATTACCAATTAATTGATCACTGGGTAGTGACCAATGTCATGTACGTCAAATCCTTCTTAGTGCAGATCGAATTTTATCAATCAAGTTGCAGAGTGGTCAAATATCATAAAAATTAGGTCCAGGGCTTCCCATAGACTACCTTCAACCACCATCTTACATTTCATCACAGTGTACCTGATGTTAAGTCACCTGGACTAGTAACCATATTGCAAATTGATTGACAAAATTTGATATGTACTAAAAAGAACCTGACATACGTGACATTGGTCACTACCCAAGTGATCTATCAACTGTAAAAAGAATACACGCAGGGCAACTTGTGCGTGTTTCTTACTTTAATCGACCTCAACTATTAAAGAGGAGAATAGATATATTTGTAATTGAAAAGAATCGCTCTTTAAGTTACTCATATATGTCTTGGATCAGTTATGAAATGATAGATAATGCTCTAGAGCTCTTTTATGACAACACCTAATTTGTGAAGAATCCATTGAAGTCGTCACACATATTGAATAACTACTTCTAAGATTTTATTGATTTTATTTGAAGTTGAACCGTTGCTCAGTTTAATCTATTTCGTTTTGGTCAGCCAAATAATATACGAGCTTTTTACACGTAAACAGTAAGGCCTTAAGTCGAGTACATCAATCTGTACTTTGTAAATCAGTTTTTTTTTTCAGAATTCAGTCAGCTGATGGTAATAACGATGAAATGATTTTCAGCATAGGAAGTGTAATTACATATTAAAGATTAATCGAAATCAATTTATTTTTGTGATATGAATTTGTGTGTAATTCATCATTCACTTTAGAAATCTTAAAGAAGTACACAAGTTATTCACTTCGATTTTGTTAACTGACAAACCAGAACAAAATTATCATAAACTGTAACCAAATTTTCCAACATGAGTGAATTCAAATGCACTACTTTTAGGACATTAAGCTTAAAGGTCTCTATTTGCAAGTGATATGCGTCACTTATTGTCGCCACTTGGAGTATCTTTAAAACCTAGAGAACAGTTGACAGCTCTTTTATCAAAATACTGGTGGTGATCTTCAACAGTATGCACTCACTATCATTTCCATTCATCGAGGTCAGGAACTACAGGTCTTACGGGAAACACTTTACCGTTGAAACCACATAGTTAGTACTCAATAGTGCACATTTATTATATAATAATATAATATAATAATTCACTTCTATTGGTTCCGTTTGTTTCACTTCAGACATGTTGGAATTCCACTGGTCACAACTCATCTCAAAGAAAGTCAGTAGTAAGGTGAGTATGACATTAGAAAAGAAAGATATCTCTTGGAGATATTTATGACTGGTGAATTTCATTTGGGATACCTCTTAAAACTACATTATATAGAATATCGTTCTAGATTAAAACATTTGAACAGTGCAAGATATAACACCTTATCTTGGCCGTTTTATTTGTGAAACTATTGTTATTACATAACCAAAGTTAGTCATTTAAACCATAAGCAAAAAATTGATTGTAAAAGTCCATTTGGTTTATAAGAAAGGAAACATAATATTATACACAACTGTAATAAACACCTTATTACAAACGAAATCATTCGTAGATACTAGGTGTTACATGAACGAATGAGTGTTAGTTAGTATTTAAATCACTATATAACAATCTACAACAGAGTGATTCTTATTCTAGTTATATGTAATAAGCGTAAAACACACATATATATTATATGAATACATATATATGAATGTTTGAATAGTCATTGTGAATTTTTAATTTTAATTAAACACTGTTTTTCCTATATATTCCATAAACAAGTTGGATACAGTTTGATAGAACATAAACTTATTCTATAATATTTTTTTGTTCTTAATTCAATTTACAAATAAACTAGATTATTGATAAATGGTAATTAATAAAAATAAGAATTGAAGTATGTCAAGGAAGTTATCATTAATTATTACTGAATTATAATACTGTACAACTTATAATCTAAACCTTATTTTTATAATACTGAACAATTTGTTTAAAACAATATGACAATCAGAAATTCATGTCAATTGATGAGCTTTCCAATAAATAGTCAAACTGAAATCATAATCAGTTCACACTGTAAAAACCGTAATGTGTCATTAGTATTGTGTTCAAAATACTTCTTTCCTTTTTTGGTAATAAACTTATTCTATTTCTATTGTGTTTGAATCATACCTGTAAATGTTTAGAAATTAGGCCTCTCTATTGTTTCATTTATGGTTACGTTCTTTGTGATTAAGTTGAATTAAGAAAACAAATTCTAATTGTTTAGACTAATATAGTGAGTGTAGAGCGTGATACAATGTGGTGTCAAAATTACAAGTGAGAAACTCACGAAGAATCACTGATAGATATGGTTTCTCAATTATTGGAAAGCCCTCAATAAACACAACCTTGATCGATTAATAACCAAATCAAGACAGCCCATTATCCTCAGGACAAATGGTTGTTTAGATACGGATATGAATACTCTACTAATTAGCCTAGAACTAGTACAAAATATTTTTACCTATCAACTGAATATTTCTGTAACTAGTCGGTCTGTGAATCAATCCCTTTATAACTTGAACAAATCTCCAGCATCCACTTTTATGTTCTTACTACTAGTGACTAACTTCAAGATAGACTATAGAAGTTTCAATGAAATGAGTTGTGACCGGTGGATGAGATGAAATGAAAAAAAAACACTGTCAAACACATCCTACTTAATTTTAGAACTTACATGGATTCTTGAATGAAATCGATTGATTTGTAGTGGCTTCAGATTGTGTAGGATCCGCTGAACCAATTGACAATTGTATTTCTAAATTTATTTCTTTTTGATTACTTGGCAGTTTAATTCGAAATATTGTTTGTTTACTGGACACTCGAGATTTTAATATTTCAAGTTTTGGTTCAATAAATTCTAAAAGTAGATAAGTTGGTCTACAAGCAACATTGTCGGAGATCACCTAGTTGAAAGTATTATATAGACAAAATGAGTAAACCAGTTTGAAAAGCTGATAACAAGGTATGATAGTGAATTAAAGTGGTTGATAACTACCACAAATGTATATTTTATAATTAAGGTTGTTAGAATACTAAGCTGTGGGACTTTTATATTGATTTGTAGCTTGCATTCGTCAGTCGGGGTGCCAATCAAAATCAGTCACCGATGGGATCGGGTGATCATATCATCATGATGGGAATCGGTTGAATTTGGAATTGGACGCTGACTCAATGGTTTTAGCGGTCAACTTCACATTGAGGCTTACAGGCCCACACTTCGGAACCTATCGGGGTCGTAAACGCGCATAGTTGACGAGCCCCTATTAGGAAGAAGCAGTTGTCCGGTCCAACCTGGTTTGTTAATATTATTCCCAAATGAGATCAGTTTGTGATGTTCACAAATTACAAATCAAACGAATCTCCACAAATCCCTTCCAACCAAACTTCTGGTTTGTTTAAAATCAGGCACTGATTACGTAATGATCGAATATTCATTCTAATTTATGTAAAGTAGTCAATAAATTATCAAACTCCTTACGACATTTTTAATGCATCTAACGATCATAGCCTGTTTTTTTGGAACAACACATGTTAAGCAAATATGGACGGTGGCTAGCAGTGGAATCCAGGAAGTGCGTTCGTCCTATTTGGGACTCAAACCAAGTACCGTTCGCTTCATATGCCATCACGTTATCCACTTAACCGCTGAGTTCTGATAACCACTTCCTGGATTCCATTTCTAGCCACCAACCATCATCATCACTACACATTTATAAGATGGTGGTTGAAGGTAGTCGACAGGAAACCCTAGACTTAAGTTTTCTTGCATTTTGACATTCATCAGGAACTCATACCTGTAATTTTAAGGAAACTGACACTTCCTACGAATTCAATCCTGTGTCACTCAGCTTTATAGTCATTTATAAACGTTACCGCTCACCAATTCTGACCATGACTGACCTCCCGTAAGAGTGAAACATATTTAAAGTTGGCTAATCACTGAGTAGTGACTAATGTCGACTTGACTGATAGAATTTTATCAGCATTAAAAGGAACGTAATGTGCATTGGTCATTTCTCAGTGATCAATCGATTGTAAACACACGTTACTGTCGGCTAACACCCGTAACACTTGCATTTTAAATAAAACCAACATTGATTCAAATTTGTATCCATTGAATTTCATTTATACCAGGTTCAGTGCAGATGATTCTTGCATTTATTTGCTTCAAGTCACACTCTGAATATAATAGCTAATGATATTACACTGTTGACAAAACCGAAGTGTGGATAAAGTGGAGTTCAAAGCCTAGACATGATGGCCATAAGAGTCGGATACCTTAATCGCTGTGGCACCGAACATAGTTCACTTTTCAACCGAATAATCACTGATTCGTGACAGAGGTCATATTTCGTCAAGATTGTACTTATCGCTTACTGCTGAGTGTCAACTAGCAGAAAACCCAAGTCAGGTCAGGTTTCTTACCAACCACACTCCTACTGCTTAAGAAGTCAGCATAATTCTTGGAAAAAGTGAGATTCGCTTTTATGCTGTAATATATAGCATTTATAATTTGATAATTGTACAGTGCAAATCGTAAATTTGTTGAAATGTGTTTCATTTGTGGATTTTTTTCATTTAATCATATTTCTAACCCATTTGAATTTGAAAAATCACACCATAATTATGTACTGTTTCTATAAATAGTGTGTATGGTTCAGATGTCTACCTTCTTATACGTTAGAACCGTATTGGTGATTCTTGTTTTCCTGACATAACATGAATGCATATGTATACACATAGGTGAGTTTGTACTTTATAGTTCTCGATTTGTCACATTGCGTTGACTGACTTCTGTTAGTATGCATAACATTTGATAAATAATTTGTTAGGTGAGATAGGAAAAAACACCCCAAACGTCAATTTTGCATTTATAAGCAATCATCATCATCAGTGAGCTAAGTATGTTGGCGGTCAGTTGCCCAATACAATTACGATTGGGGTTTATGAAAAGTTTATGATTTCAAAGAATCGAGTTTTTGTTATGGATAAGACTGATAGAAAGTTTATAGGTCTGACGTCTGACACATAAAAAAACTGTAAAGTAAATAAATCCTTAACAGAAGTCAAAAATTGAAATAGAACAACTCTATTTTTATAACAATGCGTAGTGACCTTAGGACTAAAAATGACAACAACCAATAACATATTGGTAAAGATCGTTGTGAAAATATGAATTATAGCAGTGTTATCGAGGTTATACCTTATAGAAAGAATTAACGTTTATTAAAGAAAAAATCATATAACCTGTGATCTTAGTAGCTGTTCACTTGAAAACTCATGTAACATTGGTAAAAAATATGCGAGCGGTTATTGTTCCAGAAGATATCTTAGCCTTTCTAATAAAATCTGGCTATTCTTGCGACTGCCCTAGCAGTTACACTATGAGGGTAAGGTTGCAACTAATAGTCGAGGTTGAACATGGTGAGTCATTGATAAGTTTTGGTTAACCATGAAATTTAAGTAGATGAAGCGTTACGGTTCGGTTTCAACAGTGTCTGACATCAAACTATTAGAATTCTTCTCATCGATGTTTGTATTATTCAACCATTGATATTCAAGACTCGATTATGATCAGTTTTCAAAAATATACATCGTGAGAGGAGTTCCTCAATTAGCCTTTTTGGTGTGAGTTTTATTATCGTACCAGTTAAACACAATAGTATCTGTTTGGGTTCAGCTGCTTAGTGGACAACTCATTGACGTACAAAGTGAAGAGTGACAAATTCAATTTTGAATGTGAACATGAACACTCAACTAACACGTCCAAAATAGGATGAAAGACGTGTTCTGGATTTCATTGATAGCCACAATTGAAATATATTTTTTTAAAAATGTGAACACTGTCGTAATGTCTTTCAAATTGTAATTTTAGATTGTATCGTTTGATAACTGCAACTCGATTGGACTTAAGGGCAGTAACATAATGTTTTGCATATTATCGCATTTAATAACAACAAAAACAAAGAGTAATTATAATTCTAAAAATAAATGAAATGTGAACAATTAGGGAAATTAATAACATTTGAGCAATAATAATAATAGCTGTAATGATACACACTCACTTTTGAAGCAATATGAACAGTGACATCTAATTCAGTTTCTTGTGTCTCATAATTATGATGAATGCCTTCAACAGTTAAACTTAATCCAGCATCTAAACACAGAAGAAAATGAAAATGCATGTGAATTAATGTAGAAAAATGGTTTTGAAATGATTTATTTGTACAGATTAAGGATTATTTTCACTATGAACAAATATGGTCATTGAAATCACTTCAAAAGACAAAGGAAGCAGTAGTTAGAATCTTGAAGAGATTGTGGACGGCTTCAGAGCTCTATATCGTCTCCCTCCAATACAGTGTGCAAGCATTGATCATGTGTTTTTAAATTTGTTTCCAACGATATTGGTATGAGGGATTTGCGTAGATCGTTGAGTTTTCGATCTTCATACTAAGCACTAACTTTAGTTAGTTAACCAGTGTAAACCGGGAAGTACTGGACACCATTCTCGTCTTAAGTGGAACTCCTCAACAGTGTGCATGCATGAAACCCCGGTGGGTCAGCGAACAACTATTTTAAAAGAAGATATATTTTCTCTGAACATTCACGAATTAAATTACCATAAATTAAAAATTTGTCGCATCACTGTATATTTTGTGCTAAAGATATGAAAATGAATGGCTCGAACATTTTTATTGCTATAAGCATAGTGTTCAGCAGCCACTGATTCGAGCTTCTATTTGCAATTAATAGTTGTTGTTAAGTTGTTTCAAATTACGATAAAATATGTGTCCATGTATCGATTGTCGTTATAGATGAGGTTAACCGCAACGACTTAAGTACTCGCTGTATCTAGTACTTTCGGTTATTTTTCCGTTCACCTAGCATATGCTAATAATTTTAACTAAATATTTAATTTCCTAAGTCAAGAACTATATGTTACCGTTTATGGTTAACATGTCAGTGCATCGCAACCAACAAGTGGTATAAAAATGCAAATTTAGTCAATGTGAGAGCTTGACAGGTAATCTTTAGTAAATAAATCGGAAAATATGACCGGATTTGTGGGCAACAACACGCATATTGAACAATGAAAACATTAGGGATAACCTTTAATCATCACCTTCAGCGGTTCCATAGTTTCTAACCAAAATTCACTTGGAAAAACAATGCATGAAAAGACCAACGAATACGTTTACTTTATACTAAAAATGGAAATTACACTTCGACTACCAACTGGGATGAAATAAACAATAATATATGAATCAAAAAATAAAGATTTAAATTTGTGGAAACAACCGTTATCCGACCTACGATCTGTTTTAAAAATACAAACTACTGATGTAAACTTAGTAGTTGTGTATCATAAGTCAAAATTATTAAATCTAAATAAAACGTGTGCATTCATTTATGTGAATAAACAAATTATTAACATTGATGAAGTTGCCTTAGCGCAAATAAATAAAATCTAAAGGATGAAATGCATTTGAAAGAAGAATTATCTATTCAATTCCGAGTTTCGATGAGTAAAATTTCTTTGAATTTCTGTATTTGTAAATTGGTTCGTTGTTGAAGATTAGTTTTATCCTGAATTGACAACCATGGTTTAATAAAGGACCGAGTAGTACCTGGGCTCCATTTAGCAACCTTCTTATAACTTATTTGAAGATAGTTTTAGGTCCTAGATCTAGGCTTCATGCTAACAATCACTTGTCGGTAAGGTTTAATTACAATCACGATGGATCTGATAATCCCCCATGGGATTCTAAAACACAGTCGGTGACAAAAGCGACTGTGTAAACAGCCAGCTATTCTCAATCTTTTTTCTCACATCATTATTTAAATTACAAAACCTGACGATTAGTCAAGTGAGAAATTAATTTTATCCAACAAATGAAATGTACACATGCAGTATCCGTCAAGAATTGATCTCAACCGATATAAAATTTAAAAGCTGAACACAGGATAAGTTCTTCATCTTAAGAGGGGAATCTTTAGAAATGTCCACGTGTAACTTTCCAATGAGTTCGAACTCGGGACTTTGGGGCCATTCGACGAACGCTTGGCCAACAGAGCCATTGAATCGGCGTTCAAAAGCATAATTTCAACCTTAACTTTGGATATTATGCAACGGTCCTCCGATACCACTGATGAAAATGGTTTTACAGTGAAATGTCTAAACTAAACCAGTTATAACTTTCACCAGGACTGCGTTGAATTCCGTGTGGGCTGATAGATTTACAATTTTAGAGATTCACATATTCAGAAGAAACAGCAATACCATTCTATCTAGTTTCCAATATTACCTTGATTGAGAACAGTGTGTGACAAAATACTACAAACAAATGCCTTCAAAAATTCCCATTCAGGTAAATAGAATACCTGTACTTTAGAGTTTGCCAAGATGGACACATAATGAAAAAAATGTGTGGTACAAAGGTGAATACAGTTTGGTATAGTTTAAACTACAGTTTTTTCATTTTTTTTCTCCACTTCAAAAAACTGCCTCCCCACCCCACATCTCTATTCTTTTTTTGGACAAACACAATCTTAACTTCTTAGACATAGTTATCAATATGTATTGCTTGTAACTTATGTAAGAGGGATGCGACGTGAACAAGTAACACCCTGTTATCATTTAGTTATACACACATATCTACGGCCTACAATAAATTATAATTATATTAGAAATATGTGTATGTCTAGATTTTTCATTACTTAGGTAAATGAGTTTTAATGTTACCGTGGCAATCAGACTGCTGAAAAATGAAGTAATAACATCTTTACTTAGTTTGTTATTATTCATTAGTCCACTGATAACTAACTTTCAATTAATCGGATGGTGAAATGGTTTGCGCTTGTTAGCGGTAGAATAAAAATAATTTCTCTATTCTTTAAATGAATGAATATTTTTGAGGGATAAATAATAATTAAGAATAAATAGAAATCAGCTGAAGATTATACATATATATGTTCTAGGTTTTAACATATACTATAGTATATGAGGTTTATTGATATTCGCCTTTGCTGTTCATAATAAATTAGCTGAATATGTAAGTTAGTGTCTGAAAGTTAAACCCTTTAATTAATGAGCTCCCATTCCAGTGAAGCAGCAAACTAACCGTCTCTGTATTATAAGATGATAGTAGTTCGAATATATATACATGTCAGAATAGTATTGAATCTAGTGTCGAAAAGAAGAAATTTCGAAAAGAAATTCTTCGTTTATACTTTTATTAAAACCATCTTCATCATGGTTGATATCTAGTTATTTATTTATTTGTTTACAAATAAATTTTAATATTTATTTAATACTGCCAACTAAATTTGAGTTAATCCCCACCCTCTTCCTTAAATAAATGTCCTTGAAAATGGATACAAATCATAGTAGATAAACAAATTATTGAAGCTTAAAATAAAAAAACACTATCTCAACTTAGTAGTATAATGAAATTTTGAATTAGATTTAGGACATTGTGCATAAATGACAAGTTTAAATTATATAAATATTTAAATAAAGTACAATTAAATTTGTGATTATATGTGTAGGATATCATAATCATTTGAATGTGGCGAATAAAATAACTTGTATAACTGAAAAGTAAGAAATTCGTTATATCTTCAAGAAAAAGTCGACTATCGTATATTTTACCAACTAACATTGAATTCATTAAGCCATTGGCAAGATAGATTAGATTAGAATTTTTATACAATAAATGGATTGTAGTTAACAGTGTAACACTGCGTTTTTAGCCCAGTGCATTTAATACTTTTAAGGTCAATAGATTATCCACTAATCACTGAGTCTAGATACTAACTACCTTATCAATAGTTATTTAACTAAGATCAGTTCGTGGTGTAAAACATGAAATTCAAGAGCTCCACAGACCTGCTCTGTACAGTCTACTTCATGATCTGTCTAACAATTTATTTGATTTAAATTTGGAGACAAGCAACTTGACAAAAATCAATACATTTCGAACAGCATAATCATTCTGATTTAAATGGTCGATCTGAGAAATACACGAACTAGGCTAATTGAGTTCTTGACAAGAGTTATAATGACTCCAAGGATGATACAATGTCAAGATAACCATCAGCTATATGTTCTGATTAAAACTTCAGGCGTATACAGTTGCTTTCCTTTCCCTTTACTGATTCATTATGTGAATGAATGATAATTAACTGAGCTGTAGGAATATTATTTGCGCAAACTATTTCAGTAAAATGATTAAACAACAATCCATACAAACCTCCAAGGTCATCTAGGGATATTCTGAGCGATAGAAACATAAACATGACTAGTGTACTATCATAAATAAAGAGAATTTTGCAAGTATAATGTTGATACAAAAATTTTGTACATTAATTTCTTCATAACTTCAGTTAGCATATCGACTGAAGAAAGTTAGATATTGTCGTATCAACTGGATCCTTAATAACAACTTCCTAAATGGAAAAATTCATTTACCCCTAGCTGATATTGTACATAAAATTAATTGATAAGATAATGGATAGGAAAAAATAATCACATGTGAAATATCTATCTGATAGGTATAAAAAATATCTTCAGTCATAATCACGGTAGCGATTGAAAGAAAGTGAGCTAATCTCCCTAGCTTTCTTCCGATCTACATGGTCTACACCAGGAAGCATCGTGCATCAAGATAGATAATCCTGATGAGACACTATCAACTTATCAATACTACTAACCTTTTACCAACATAATAATAATATTGATAATGGCAATAATAAATAAACACAATACTAATCATATAACAAACCCTTAATATCTTCTTTAACTGTTTCACCAAGTGATCCAGAGGTAGCTAATTCAATAATAGAAGCTGACTCAACAGTATCCTCAACCCCAACAGATTTCATGTATAATTTATAGACATCTGATGTAGATGGATTGTTTAACTTAAATTGAATTATTTGACCATGAATTGTACGTGTACATGTAATAATGTCATTATTATCTGTACTACATTGTCCGTCTACGAAAATCGATCAACATAAAAGAACAGATGACGTGAGGTAATGAGATTTTGAACAACAACGAAAAACTGCTTGGTATCTATTCAAAAAAATTTATATGATTAGAAAGAGAATAGATAAAATCAATTTTCTATCAGTAAATAGTTATTTGAATCTTGCGATTATTATTTTGGGCTGCAATGGATCACATTTTTTTGGTATATGTGAACACTGTGTGAATTGCTTTGATATTGATATTAATTCAAAAGCATTGTGAGCAGAGATAGATTGTGGCAGGCAGTGGGATCCAGAATGTGCATTTTGTCCTACTTAGACCTCGTCGGTTGAATATGCCTATATACCACATTTAGTATTCGTTCCGGGACTCGAACTTAGTACCGTTCGTCTCAAACTCCATCGCGCCATTTACTTAGGTACTGAATCCAGATAGCCAGTAGCTTGAAGTTTAATTCATTTGTATTGGTTGGTTGAATGTTCTCACTGAGCACACTCTTGCACAAGTATATATCGTATATACGCGTGTATTTATTACATAGTTATTTTTAGTAATATTATTCTGGGTACCTTTTAATGTGAAAGAAGACGTCTTAGTTATTTACCTCACCTTTTTGTTCCTTTTTATTCATATAATAATGACTTTTCAAAATGTAGCTGAAAATAATTCATGTAGCTTAGTGATCCTCAATGTTATCAACAAAGTCTGGCCATAGATTCAATTCTGAATAACAATATCAATACTAGGGTGATATGAGTAGTCTTTAAAAAGTTAGAACATGTTTCCGGGATTTCACCTTTTCTTCTTATCTAAACAACTTATGAACTCCGTTTTATGTATTATTAATAATCATAATTATTCATAATTTTAAACCGGAAGAAATACTGCTCTTTATATTGTAGTAATTGATGTTTGAATTAATGAGAATCGTGATCAAAACATGTGATCATTTTAATGCTTTACTTCATTAAAATAATAGTGACGTATAATTATTGCAGTAAATATTTCATAATTCCAATTAAATTTGTTTTCAGATATACACATCTACAAATAAATTGTTACTGTCTTATTTTTTTGAAGGATTATTAGAATACTAGCAAGCAATCCATCATATAGCTTGATAAATATCCACTATATCACTGATGCGTAACTACATCACATGGTCAACTTTCTTGATTTCACTGGTTATTCAGTTTTCGCTAGTTGCCTTGAGATTTGAATTCTTTTAGTTTCACTTTATAATAGATTATAAGTCGAGAAGAACGATTGAAATCATGAAATAAAAAATGACAAGTAATATAATTAAAAGTTCTGGACCTAAGAGAAGACAAAGTGCGAATGAATTTAAACCACTGCAATCAATTCCAAGCTATGTCACTCTACGTTTCCAACAACTGGTTACAATAAGTGAGCAGACTTCACAATCAAGTGGTAATTAACACTTGCTGTAATGGACACTACTCACAAGGATGCTTGTAAGTAGTGTGTGACTAAGCGTAGTGTCGAAGTTGCGACAATTGTGAAGACTTTCAGTGCATCGAAAGCACAGCGTTAGCAGAATATTTAGACACAAGACGAGAAGACAGTTCAGATGACAGAAAAAACCCAAAGCTGCAAATGGACGACTGAAGGCTATGTATATGTATTATGTAAATACCTTGTAACTTCTCGCAATAAACATACCTGCCTTCTGCCTAATGTCATATTTCACACTGCTAACGTTGATCATTCGCCAAATGTTAATGACTTCATAGATTGATATTATATTCGAGATTATCAATAGATTTTATCCTGATTAATACACAAAATTGTTTCATAATAAATACATTTCAACAAGTAAGATTAAGCTCAAATTTCCTTTGAAATTTTCATTGATTAAATAATATGATCGGTAATTTTCGAGTAGTTTTTTTTCACTAACTTATCGAGATATTACAATCATGTCTCAGAATACACCATGTTGAATATTATTTAAAACTTTGTAGCAACTTATCAAGTTATGTAAATACATTTTATTTGACAGCAAAATACATGAAAATTAAAAGTTCATAAAGATTGTTCTATTCAAAGTTAATTTGCAATTTTTCACTGACTGACATTAGCTAAGTTGTCTCTTACTGTGATTACTGAATTCTAGTGTAAATATTTAACCATCAACAGGGTTTAATTGAAAGATTTATAATTCCTTGTCTTCATTTCAAGAACAATCTCTACTAAAATTAACATCTTCATAACGATTGTTCGTTCTCTAGTAACTGATATTTTATATGAGCTCTGAAAGTTTTATTGAGAAGACTGGTGTCTGGTTTATGTATATTAGGGCAAGTATCACTGATATTGTTAAATTGATCACTAGGCAAGGTATCAATTATATATATTAAATGAAGGTTGTGGATGAACAAAGTGTCTAAAAAACTCCAAATTACAGTAAAACATAAGAGACCAGTATCACAAAGTTTATATCAGCATAAATACATTTATTATGTCATTATCACAGTTTTGTACAAACCTTTAAGTTGAACACTGGCAACAACTTCATCTTCGCTCTCACTAGAGGAACAACCAGAACGCTGTAAGGTTAATATCTTCAACTGACTATCAACATTATTTTCATCTAATTGATGAAAAGCTCTAATATCTAATAAATGTGAATCTCTTTGCCAAACCCATGCACGAACTGTATTCACTCCACTTGATGTAATAACTAAAATTAAAATTGTTAATTATAAATTAATTGGCTGATCGAATTAAAAAAATATCTTTATTATATTATAGTTAACATTAAAAGGAATGATCTTAGTTCACTGACCAATTAAAATGAAGAAGCACTGGATAAATATGTTTCCTCCTAATATGAAACTTCTCGACGGTGGGCATTTATGACTCAAGGGTCTTTCGTCTCGCGCACAAGCGTTTAGTCCCTGAACAGTTGAGCCGAAATTTAGTGGGCAACATGTTTAACTTCAATCAACTTATTGTATCACTCAATCATCTTCAAATGTCATTGGTAGGTAACTGCCTCACAATCAGAATGGTTCAACTTCACTAATCAAAGATAATTTCATTCACTTGGATGATATGATCGGAGCACACAATGATTTCATACAATAAAATCGGGCTGAAGTTATCCGTCACATTTCCTACGTTCAATAAGTATATTCTGTCTGTAACTTCCAGTCAGTGTTTTGTTCACTCAGCAGAAGAACACCGCAGGCTACAGTGTATGTAAATTTCAACAAAGATTTCAAGTAAATGCGTTGAAGATTTTACTCAAACATCCTTTATATGTCATGTAGTACAGCACAATATACTGGATTATAAACACACGTGTAGCGAAATTTAGAGTCCGAAGTTAAAATCGCTCAAGCAAGCTACACTTACTCAACAAATGAACGAAAAAATGATCAATAATGCTGGGCATGCATGGTATATTCAATGGACATTATGAAAACATTGTGGATAATCTGCAGTCGAAATTGGTAATCTTAAAATGTTGTCACCTGTTATGATGTGCGTTGTCCGATATTGAAACTAACTTTCTATACGCAAGCTTATAACCAACTTCTGAATGAGAAAACTAAGAGTGAAGGAGGACATTTATTGAACTTAAACGCTTCAGATGTATAAGCACAGTCTGCGCAAATATACCTGTACTAATGTTCGATAATTACCAGAGTCAGTCATTGACTGGATATAGATACTCAAAGGTAACATCTCAAAACTGTAAGTAGTGATGTAGGTAATTGACGTGTGTTTGAATCCCATGATGGAAGTAAAAGTTCTTTCCTAAGATTGTAGATTTCATTTAGCTGATGGTTGACAAATGGAATGAAATATAAACTTCGTATTTCTTGCTGACTGAAGTACGAACGCATGTACGTGTGTATGTTTTGAGTGAGTAGGAGAGTACAGTGTCTTATAACATTATGAGAATAATTACTCATCCAAAACTTACTCAATGCCCGAAAAACATCTCTAATCACAGATGGTGATTTTGTAGCTGATAAAGCTTTTGGCATACTCCATGTAACTGAGATCACGCTATCATCGACAGAATCCGGCCAAACATCTTGTAGTTCATATTTATAAACAGGTATAGACCATAAATCAGAACCAACATTAATGCCCGAAAACGCTTGTACATTTGTCTCTTCTATATTCTAGAAAAAAACAGAACAACAGATTGTTACACGTAATCCACTTATGTTTATTGTAATTAGTCTTATGATTTGAATTATATTGATTATATATCACAAAGTCCCACTGTTTCACAAATGACTAGGTCACACAAAATATATATATTTCTCATTCATTCTTATCAATCAGCAGCATTAGAACCGATAAATCATACATTTCTTAAGATTATTTCAAAAGTTCCTCTGTGTCGTCAACTTTCCGTTCGACCAGTTTCCTATATTATATAACTTCACCATCAAAATCTTTTGAAGAAAACACATTAGCAATAATGATTCTTACCGCATTTGTTCTACTTCCTGCTTGTCCACCTTCTACAAATACCACACCAATTTGTACATCTTTTAAGAGACTGTAACCAATAATATTGAATTTGAAGTAACTTTCATGTTCATTCTCTGGTAATTCAATGAATCCTACATGTGATTCAATTGATTGTTCAGCAAATGTTGTCGTGTAATTTGTTTGAAATATTAAATCTGGAATGTTGTTTTTGAAAACCAAGTAAAGAAAAGGAGAAATAGCATATCAAATTATATATCTAGTAATTTCACCAAAAATTACGCGTATGTCTACGTTTGAATGAAATGGTTTCTAAAGGAGTAAATCAAGGGATTAAGAATGATTGTGAATGTAACGGAATTTATTAGATGACTGTAGGTAGTCGGCACGATACCCCACTTGACGTACGTTTGGTGCTAGTATGACCGTATCGACAATGCGTACCTGCAATCTTGAGGGAAATGGTACCCCTTGTGATAATTGAAGCCGTGTTACTATATTTGCAACCTGTGAAATTACCATACAGAAACAAAAGCCAAGATTGATCTCCTAAATTATTCACAATTGATTGGCTGTTGGTGTAGTGTTCAATGTCAAGGTCGTCTAGTCCTTCAATGCTGGTAAAATCCAGTCGATTACACCCAAGACCAAAGCTTTCTATATGCTATTTTAGACTACCTGATATAAAAATATATTGAATGCAATTTCACACAGACTTTGTTTACACAATAGGTAACGATACCATACATACCACTGCTACAATCAGCTGCTGATTGAAATTTTGAGTAAATGTAAGTATAAGGTTGTAGAGGTTTTCGAGTTTCATTGAAATCATGAAACTATCAATGTTAGACCACTATTGAAAAATCTGGAATCACTGAACGTCCATTTTGTTCCAGTACGGGGTTACACATCAGTGCACATCCACCACCACAAAAATCAACCCCACGACCTTAAGTCTCGTGTGCAAACGCATAGCACTAGCATCAATCGGTCTTTCATTTCAATGAAACGAAACAACCTCCTCAACCCTATACTTACCGTGTTCTCACTAGTGATGAGCTTTGAGAGGAAATTTCCAGAGTTCTAGTGTGAAGTTGTGATCAGTGAAGCCAGTCCGTGTCGGGTGTAAGACAGTTACTACCGGAGATAGTGGAAGATGGTCGCGAAATATGGTAGATATCAACACCGTTGGATGCCAGCTCAGTGGTCTAGAGGTTAAGCGTTCTCGTATACGACTGAAGGTCCTCGGTTCGACCCCTAGCTGCGTTGTCATAGATGCGCACTACCGAGTAGTCCTATACTAGGAGTGAACGGCACTCCAGTGGCTTCAAGTTATTAAATGGTGGTCTAACATTGATGGCGACTGTTGAAAGGAAATTTTAGCAAAAGCTTTTCAATATTGAAGACTAAAGAATCTAAGAAACGAAACAAAGTAAAAATATCTATGAAGAAACTCATTTTTGGACAAGTCTTTATTGCCTTGAACTGTTTTGTTTTTTAAAAATAAATCTTTATTAGACATATTGATCAATTATTTACAGAGTTTAGTTTCTCATATGAACAGGTGTCTGTCTCACTTAGTCTAGATGGTATATGCATTGGACAGGTACAATGGAATGAACAAAGAACTAAATGGAAACCGTCCTAGTGTAATTGTGAGTATGTATGTGTGTATGTATAGGGATACAAAGTGTAGATATGGGAAAATAAGGCATAATGTAGAAAACTAGAGATTATAACATACAATCAAATGATGCATCTATGTATCTGAATGATTAATTTTTCATGTATCAAAAGCAATTATAATAATTTAATGTTATGTCCAGAATACATTCTAAGATTTCATGACATGTACTGTAATGAATATATATACATATATACTTTAGCTATTATGATGATGACTACTATGACTTTAATTACTAATATTAGTCAGTAGTAGTACTGTTATAAATAAGATCAGATAACTTAATTACAAGTAAGTATAGTTTTGATAACAAAAAGAAAATAGATTATTCGGGTAAAGCATATGGTTATTACTGCTTATCATCAATATATATTCATCTTCACTTAACTAGTTTTGACTTTTATAGAGGAGAGAGTAGAAAATTTGCGAAATGGGATGAGTTATTGAATCGAGACAATTGGTTTATTTATCAGCATTGATAAAGATGACTATATCAGAGATGAAGGAACAGAATGGCGCTATATATATATATATATATACTAGCACTTTGACATAGTGATCAAGATTTGATACTTTGATAACTCGATCGAGCTATGTTTGTTCGAAAACTTATTTCTTTAAGGCCTACCATCCCAGATAGGTTGACTGGCTAGTGACCTGACTGTAAACAGTGAGTGAATGTTGGAAAGTGAATTTTTGATGTCAGCTGTTCTGTGGTGGAACGGCTGGAAGATGTTTTGCTTAGACAACCGGCATGTGTAGCGATCAGTAGAAATACATGCATATGGAGCTCAAATCGTTTACAATTATAGCGAAAACCTATTGCAACCATAGAATAAAAATAATAGTGTTAGACATATCAAATGCCTAATTTAGTGTCTGTTGGTTATTCATAACAAGCAAATTAACATTAACCCTGGATTCATATCTTAACTGGGTTGTGCAAAATCTTACGGACTAAATAATCATATGGTGCCTATTTTATGTATGAACGAAATTCATTCATAAATATAGTTTCAGGACGCTAGTACATTATAGCTAATACCGGTTTTTGATAGAAATTAACGCTCGGTTTCTAAATAGGAACAATGTGGGGATCATTACAAATCAGTTTGATCCCTTTTAAGAGTTGGAGAAGATGGACAATCTATATCAAATTTCGTTAATTTTCTAGGGTTTACTAGCACTGTAACCTGTAGAAGAAATCAATAGACTTGCTAATTGTGTATGATCCGGTTACTTTTTCAACATCATTACTATCTTTTCCATAAACTATTAATATACAAAAGCTGTTTTGTGATTCGCTAAAAAATTACTGGAACTTCGTCGCGGTTGTTTTAGGTTTCTCCCTATCACCGCACATTAAATACAAGTATCATATAAGCATTAAATAAAACATCATTTAACTGTTTTTAATGAGATCTAGTAATTTAAAAATACATTTTCTTACCCTGATCGAAATCTGTTGGTTTAAGATTTGTAGATAGAGAGAAAAGTTGTGATTTCTTATTGTCAGTAGCTTGGCAACTACATTGATACTGACTGTAATATTGATGAGCTAGAAATAGATTTTAAAAGAAAAACTTGAAAAAATTACTGGTAAAGCTTAATCTTTCAAGAATAATCAAAATAATCTCATGAAAATGTTTGAGAAAATAGTAAAACAATACTTAGATCCCCAGAAAATAATATTAATAAAATCTTGGTTAAAGTGGTTTAGGATGACTGATTTCATTTATGTTGCATTCCCCACAGATTGTTGTTAGTTAGGGTAACATGAAAAATCAAGGAACATTTCGACACATCTGTCTTGTACTGAAAAGTAATCAAACATGTCGAAAATGGAATAGTTATCGTCAATGGAATTCGATTGTCATTGCATTGTAACGCAAATTGACTGAAGTTAGAATTAGACCACTAGACGTCGACGCAGTGGTTAAGAACTAGCTATGATACATGAAGATCCTGCGTTCGACCATTGGCAACGTCATAGAAGCCCATTGCAGTGGAAGTTCAATACTAGGAGGAAACATCTGCCCAGTGCTTCCTGGTTTTCAGTGGTAGCCAGCTAAGGTCAACATGTGAAGAATCGAACCTATAATAATAGTAATAATAATAATAGCTGACTTCCTAAGATAAGAATTATCTATATCTAATTTCTTTCCTACAAACATTAACCCAACAATCATCATCATCTCGATATGCATGATGTGTACTGAGACGATTCTGTATCACTTTATACCCTGCGAATACAACTTTTTGTCGTTCATACCCGTATGACAGATTTGGATACCAATTTTTAACGAGCGTATGTAACAAGAAGATAATAATAGTAATATATGCAAACTGATAATTTGAAAAACTTTCACACACAAACACATTCGCGCATAAATCAAGGATAAAACAAGTGTAAATTAAAAAAAGTGAATACATTCGGAGGTGTGTGTATCTGTGTCTATATATATCGAGATGAAGGGAGTGGTTAAGATTTATACAACAACTCAATTAGTATACACAGAAAAAAGAAACTGAAATGAATACAAAAATGTATCTAGAATTATTCTTGTTTCCCAGTAAAACAAACACGTACTTGGAAGAGCAATTGAATTGATAGATAATTCTAATTCAATAATGATAAGAGTGATAAGCAGTGTATAAATAAATCACATCATGATTTTAGTAAATAAATCTGTGAACATCCGATCAATAAAATTTAATATTCACAGATATTGATAAAGAATAGTTTCCTTCTGTTTAAGATTAGTATTTTCTTATTGTTTTTAGTATTAGGGATTGTAAGCCAGAGCAGATTGTCTCAATAATGTCACGAAGTTACACGTATTTAAGTAAACTAAGATAGTGGTTGGTAGTGCGGAACAAAACAAGCGTTTCAACCCATTTGGAATATTAACTGGTTGTTACACTTCAGTATTGATATTCACACGGTGACTTGAACCCAATGCCTTCCGTTTCAAATCCTAACGCATTATCCATTGAGATACTGGGTTCAGATAAATATTAGTTTCGAAAACAGTTATAAATTTTATTTGTAGGGTTTCTGTCTTCTTAGTTGTCGATTTTGAAAACACCAGTGGCTATCTGGACCCATTAACCAAGTTAAAAACGCGTTGTGCATGCTTGAGAAAAAAAGTACTGGTTTCGAAACCTAGTGTGAATATCAGCATTAGGATGCAGGTATATCTAAATATGTATCCTGAAATCCCACGCCAGTCAATATTCAATTTTATCATGAATTACTTTCGCCTTAAAGTTCCTTTACTTTTCCAAGGTGGTTCACAAGACCTATAACTTGATTCAGATGCAAGCTTTGGGAAGTGTTATGTCAACCTTTGAACTGGATGATTTCATTTTTCCACAACAGTTGAATGACAATATTTGAGTGTGATTTCAGTAAACGATATTTTGAATTAAGAAAATGGGTCTCTTACATTATCATATAAATTATGATTTTATTGATACGATTCAACTGCTCCCTACCTAGTCATTGTTCAGTCTGGTATGCTAGGTCAGCTAAACATATCGGTTCATGGCCGAAAAATGGGGGAGAGATAATGATGAGAGCAAGCTACTGGGTAAGATTTGACTTAAATTCAAAAACACAACAGTTATACGCCAATAGTTGAAAATATGGCTTGGTTTTCTGAGGGAAACACATTACATATTTTTTTCTTTTATATATCAGTTGTGTATACATTTTAAGATCGATTAGCGAATAAAATACTTGATTTTTCTACTGAAATAGCTGTGGACACATGAATGAAGTATATACATCAGTGACAGACTTGGACGATGACAGAATATAACACATTCTCTGAAAGCCGCGATTTTGTATGAACTAACAAAAAAATGAAAATAATGGATGGATAGGAGTGACTTCAATCGATTACTATCAATAATTATTTTCGTTTCAACATAGAAAGGAAATGAAGGCAAAACAGATGGAAATGCAAAAGCTAAGTGCGGATGAGGAATAAATTGTAATTAGGTAAAAATAAAATAGGATGCCTAGTTTGATTGGTAAAGGTTTTCGGAGATTGGTTTAATTCGTGTGTTCTACAAGATTTATCTAAGTTGAGGTAAGATTGGAAATCAGGGAATACTGGGAGACCGTTACGTTCTGGATTGAGACTCTCTAGTAGCGCAAACTCATAATACCACAAGAATCAGAGTTTAGGACCCTCAGGTTTTCCAAAGAATGCTCCCTAGTGGGATCGAGGTTAAACTCGGCTAAAGAGACTTTTATAGCCCATGTTTGACTTGAATCAAATTATATATTCCACACTTAATTTCATCTATTTTCATTGACTTAAACTCGTGTGTAATCATCTGAACTCAAAAAGCTAAAATACAAAATTTATGCAAGACATATATTCAAAGTATCTATATATGGCCAGAAAAACGACGAATATAGTAGGAAAAATATGGAAATTTGACTTTGGCCATGATCACTGAACTAAAAAGAAATTCAGACTAAGTGGTCCAACAATAATGTATACGATACATAGACAGATACATACTAACACATGTGCACATGGAATGTGGAAAAAGAAACAATCTATATGGGTGAATAATTACGCCCACGAACATATGTTCAATAGACTTACAATGATATTTTATGAAATGCACTTGAACAAAGGATCACAAATTGCTTAATAGGATTACAATGACATATTTTCTTAGTCGAACTAAAATAGTTCGCATAGAGAGTTGCAGAAAGAATTCCTATAATTCCCATACTAGTATAAAACAATTGCCCATTATCCCTCAAATTTCAGTGGTGTCCACACAAGACCAATCTGTGACGAATACAATCTACAATAGCTGTAATTCGTGTTGGTCATCATTGAACATTAAGAGAATGAACAAAAACATTGACACAAATTACTCATAATGTGAAGTTGATTTTGTTTAAGAAGAATGACAGAATAAATTAAGTTGATATTTGATACTTGGTCTAATGCAATAATCCTGACTCCATAGTCTACTTCGAAGGATAATGTTTGCTGATGTAGGAGTATTGGTTGAAAGAAAGAAAAAGGTGACCAAAATTACGACGTGGAATCGATCTATGAAATGAATGGATATTACTTTTAGCCAATTTAGACGGTCCAAACTAATTGTTTGGAGTTATTGGAATTATCAAGATACAGTCGAAAACATTTAGTGAAATGGCTCAAAAATCGGATACAATGATTCACATGCATTTACATTCATTATTTGTCACTACATCCAGGGTTTTAAAATTATCTTATATTCTATTATTCCAAAAATTCGTTTTTCTTTTCGAATTATATTAACTTTGTTTAATATTTTCCACTACCATTAAAACTGTTAATACCTCTATACTAGTCTGAAATTTATCTTGATAATTTGATTTTTATTGTGCTAAATATTAATGTACATTTATGCCAGTTTATCATAATGCTTATGACCGACTGACTGAATGACTAGTGGAATTGAAACAGTATAAACTAATTTCCACTTTGGTATGTTAAATAGTTTAAATTTATATACAAAGTACCTAAGGAGAAAATAAATGACAGCAAAAGTACGCAAATATTGATTAAACAATGGTAATTTCATCTTACTTTCTGTCAAAACGTTTGCTATTTTAAGCTTATTCTAAACAAATTTCTAAATTATCCACACATTGCAAAGCTGTCTAGTAATCATAATTCATACAGACATTTATTAAGCCTACAACACAATGTTTTTTACGTACTCTGTGAAACAGGAATTGCATTTTATCTGATAATTAACAGAAATGGGTTATATATGACCTGAAAGGATTTTGCATCATGAACTCATGTTACCTGAAGAATTCATATGAAATTAAGGAACGATGGACGGTGTTGTAATTCTTGTTTAAAGTACCTAAAGCAACGGGAACTTAACGCCATAAATAACATTAAACCGGTGTTGTAATGAATACAATACAGTTTAGTTGTCCTCATTTTCCTACTTTAGTCAACTTGTGATGTAGCACACAATATTCATCCAAAATTCACTTTATGAATTAATACCATATTACACTTCTTTTGTTGGTTGATCTCATAAAGCAATGTAAAAATTAATGAAATTCATGTTAAAGCTAATCATTAACAAGTACAAGGTGTATTATGAATTTGTTTGGCTTTTGTGAAAAAATCTTTACCAACTCATGGTCATCGTTGTCGCCAACTGATATATTGACATATTCAGAGGTGATTCTAAACAATGAACAGCTTGAATCATTGTATACAACGATTTATTCCATGTAAAGATTGTAGGATACTCATAATTTAAAACGCAAACTGATCTTAGTTAGATGATCATTGAAAACTGGAAAGCACTATATGGTCATTTCTTCCTAGTATGGGACTCCTCAGGAGTGTTTATACATGAGTACTCGTCCGAGAATCGAAGTCGGTCTGACGCGCTGACACTTGACCTTTAGATCCCTGAGGCGCGATCCAAAATTGTTAATATTTAACCTAAACCAATCCATCATATTAAAAAATTCTCATCTGTTGTTTTGAATGGATACTCTGCACACAC